TATTTGATGAAAAATAACTTCGTTTTCGAAACTTTTGTTCGAGAAAAGGGTTTCTTTCGGTGTCAAAGTTTTTAATTATAAATTTTTTTTAGAATCATGCAATCCCCAGTCGAACCACATCGCATTTGTCTGTTTCATAATCCTCCTATTGAAGTATACAACATAATCACAATCCGTTGCAACATTTTATGGGACCCAAATAGCATTTCTTAATGACATTGATAAGTATATGTTGCTCCTTACATGGTAAGCATACAGCTTGTTAACCGAAAACCGTAGACAAAAATAAAACGGCAGATCGAGTTCAAAATTATTCGGGAATTGAAGAAAACTGTCTTAAAACCCGAAGATAAATTTTCGGGTATAAATTTCAAAGAGGACATGGTTTGATGACAAATGAGTTAAAGAAACAATATTTTTATGGAGGGTTTCTGCAAAATAGATTTGGACTTTAAAGATTATCGAAAATCAAGCCGGCCGAAAAGAAGTGTATTCAAAAGCCAACAACCTGGCGTGTCCGAAATCTTACGGGATTATGCTGCAGAATAACCAGCATTACAGCCCTACATAAACGTTCGTTCCTAATCTAAAATGTATTTCAGAATCTCGGCTGACATATCAAGAGATTGGCTACTGACCGTAGTTTACAAGATGTTGTGGCCTGCTGCAGTATCTACGACGATCCGTGTTTTTGTTCAATGTCCCGCTGCGTCAAGGTCATTGACTTTCCTTGCTAGCAGTTCCGGTCGCGCTGACCTTATAGTCTGATCGGCTGCAACATGCGCACACGCGTTCATTCAAACGATCACAACCATCCATGCTCAAATTGGACACAACACACCTCGGCTAATGCAGGTCAGACCACTGGACGCACTGCCTCTGGAATCACGGAATAATGATACTTTGGCTGTCGCAAACGAAGATTTCTACCGTGTGCCCCACGGAGTGGACGCAACACCGGCGGCATGCGCATTGAGGAGGACTTGCGCAGCATCTACCGCACTACCTCCTCCCGCACCCGCATAATTCGTAAAATCTACCGAACACCCTCTCTTCCTCCTTCGTTCACCAGACTCCAATGGCAGGACAGCATCAAGACGACAGGTGGCTGCGGGCGCAGTGGTTCATGAAGTTCGACAGCCTGTTTACGCGTACTACACGGCGGCGTGCGCGTGAATTAGTCTGCATTGAGGACGACTTTCGCAGCATCTACTGCACTAGCTCATCCCACACTCGCATGATTCGCGACAGCTACCGACCAGTCTCTCTCTTCCTCCTTCATTCGCCAGACTCCAAGGGCAGGACAGTATCAAGACGACAGGTAGCTGCAGGTGCAGTGGTTCATGAAGTTCGATAGCCCTTCTACGCGTACCACACGGCGACACGCGCGTGAATTGATCACAATTGAAAACGACTTGCGCAGCATCTATCGCACTAGCACCTCCCGCAACTACCTGATTCGCGACATCCGCCGCGCACTCGACAGGCGGCTTCACACGCCACACGCGCACAGCGAGCTGGGTTCTCATGCGAGGAGCGGGTTGGAGTTCGCATTTGCGAAAGCGCCACAAAAGTCCACATTAGGGAACCACTGAGGCAGACTCTCAGTCCACTGAATACACACAGACGCAGCTCTGGATATGAGTTAAGTTATCCTATCAGTTGGAAGCCTTGCACAAACCCGTCGAATGACCCAGCAAGGCTTACCAGCTTTAGCCAGACATCTACGTAGGCGGGATCGGTGAAAATACCCTCCAGATGGCTGGTATCGCGAACACAACGGAACAGCAGGTCGCCCAGATCTGCGGAGGCGCCAAGAGCCGGGTAGTTCTCCTCCGTCCAGCGTATGTACCTGTGATGGAATCAGAGGGGGGGGGGGAGGAGGGAACGGCATATGAGAAACAATACAGGTGGCCAGAAAGGAAGACAAAGTCAGGGAGGAAGGGGGAGAGCTGATGCGAGTAGAAAGACGATCAAGAGGCATACTTTAAACATACAGTCAGATGTCATACTCTACTTCCTTGTTCTTCCGCATTCATGTAGTTTTTTGGTGCTGCGGGAGGGGACTGCGATTCCGCGCTGGTGAAAACTTGACTACGACGGAGCGGAATAATCAGAAAGGGATGGCCCGTCTCATCAAGTGTTAATCGACATTCTGCGATACATTTTCGATCTTAGAAGGTTACTTAAACACAGAAACAGTCCTAAGATATCTCAATCACGTCAGGATGCAGATTTTGAAACGAGCCTCTTTGCGGCCGACTGCATGAACATCGCGTAGCAAGAAAGAGACTGCTTAAGTAGTACTGGTTTCCACGCTGATTTTCGATGCCCATATGAACTTCAATATACTTTATGGAGAACATGGGCAAAAATACTCTTTGGTAGCAGGTCAAGCCTTCTTCGAGTTTTCACTTCAAGAATGGGTATCTCTCTGTGTCACTCATAAAATATACAACACTCAGAGCACAATTTTACGAGCTCTGTATATCCTCTTCATAATAGCACATAGAAATGCATAATCTTCCTTGCATGAGAAATATTCAGCGTGTAGTTCAGAAATCTTGAATACAAGTGCAACGGAAAATGGGGCAAATGGAACTGAAAAAGATTCTTAAAACCGAAGAATATTCTTTGTTTAAATATGTCCAGGGGATTTATATTATGTCCCTGCTTACAGTAGGTCAGCTAACTCATGAAATGTTGACCGAAATTCCGAAATGCATTTTCGTGTCCAAAAGAGTAATAAAGTAGGACTGTAAAACTAACAATCGTGCAGCCCCATTCTATAATAATTCAATGTATGAGTTTCCGCACGCGGAAAATAAACCTCTTGTAGTTTGGAAACCCTGAATGCAAGTGCAAAGGCAAGTCTGGTTCAAAATTATTCGATTGGAGAGGTTTTTAAAGACCGAATTATACCATTACTTTGAGTATAAGATTGGAAGAAGACGTAATTATCTACCGAATGAGCAAAAGAATGAATATTTTTATGCATGTTTTCCATGAAATATAATTAGGCTTTTTAGGGACATCGAAAATCAATGAGAAAATGTCATACTGCTTAAGTAGTCATTTTTTACAGAGTGTAGTTTTTGCATGCAGCCGAAAGGAAGTTCATTCGAAAAGCGCCATCCTAAGGTAACTGAAATATCATAGAAATGCATGATCTTCCTTGCATTAAAAATATTCAACAACGGCAAATAAGACAAAAATTTCCGCGGCAATTGAAAAACAGATTCCTAAAACCGAAGGGTTCCCTTTGTTCAAGCATGCCATTTGAAGAAAACGTAATTTGCTATTTTCTATAAAATATGTCTAAATTTAGAAGGACTTAAAAAATATTAAAAACATTCATGCCACTTAGGTAGTCATTTTTTGCAGAGTGTAGCTTTCGCGGGCGGCCGGAAGAAGGTTCGTTTAAAAGCCAGCAGTCTAGCGTGACTGAAATAATTAGTGATTATGCTGCACGGCTTAAGTGATCTTCTCGACTCGAAAACACATTTCAGAATTTAGGTCAACATTTAATGCGATAGCACACCTACTATGTGCTGACGGCGAAACACAACTGCCTCTTAACTAACACGCCGGTCAGTAAGCAAACTTAAGCGTCTTCTGCTAGGAATTTCCTCCTCACAGCGGTTGGGAGGAGTGCACACGAGTCTGTATTCGAAAGCAAAGGGCTGGGTGGAGTTAAAAGTTGCAGCCTTGAACAAGATTACTCTCCATCTCAGCCTGTTACACGCCTTACGCTTGACAGAGCTGGAAATCCACCGGGATTGAAGCTCGGTCCGTTGGCAGCGCGGGAGTAGTGATGTCCTCTACCTCCAGGCGCATGAATAAAGCCGAGACTCCCACTCACCCAACCGTTAATGCAAGAGGGAATATGTCAGACAGGGCTGACATATGATCACTCACCGCCTCCTCCTCTTCCCCCCGAAATCCATGCCTACATGGTTACTAATTGATTTTGCACATCAAAACCCCAAGATATTTCAGTAACAACAGGACGCCGGCCTTTAAAGGAGCTTCCTCCCGGCCGCCCTCGTAAACAACAACAACAACAACTACTACTACTACTACTACCCTACTGCTACTACTACCACTACTACTACTACTACTAATACAACTACGACTACTTCTACTACTACTACTACTACTACTACTACTACTACTACTACTACTACTACTACTACTACTACTACTACTACTACTACTACAGTCACTAATACTACTACCACTACTACAACTACTACAACTTCTACTACTACTATTACTACTACTACTTCTACTACTACTGCCGCTAATACTACTACTACTTCTACTACAACTAACATTACTACTACTACTACTACTACCACTACTACTGTCGCTAATACTACTACTACTACTGCCGCTAATACTACTACTACTACTGCCGCTAATACTACTACTACTACTACTACTACTATTATTACTATGACTACAACAACAACAACAACAACTTCTACTACTACTACTACTACTACTACTACCACCACTACTACTACTGCTACCACTACTGCCGCTAATACTGCTACTACTGCTACTAATACAACTACGACTACTACTAATTCTACTACTACTACTGCTACTATTACTGCTGTCGCTAATATTACTACTACTATTACTACTACTACTTCTACTACTACCACTACTACTACTGCCGCTAATACTACTACTACTACTACTACAACTTCTACTACTACTACTACTAACATTACTACTACTACTACTACTATTAGTACCACTACTACTACTACTGCCGCTAATACTACTACTACTACTACTATGACTACTACAACAACAACTTCTACTAATACTACTTCTACTACTACTGCTATTACTACTACTACTACTACTACTACTACTACTACTACTACTACTACGACTACTGCTACTACTACCATGAGAAATACGCATATTCTTGTCGACTTTCGATGCACTAATAAGTGTAAGCCTATATTCTGGAAAAAAGCAGCAAAAATGTTTTTTCTTGTGTTGAATTGGCCGAAAATTACTTTTCTCCAAATGTTATCTCTGAAGGAAGAGTATAATCTGGTTTTCAAAAGCCTTCACAAATCTCGAATAGTTTAGATTCCGGCCGTTACGCTTACATTCAGAGTTTCCAAACTGCGAGTTACGTATTTTCCGTGCGGGGAAGATCATACATTACAATAAGCTATTAAGAAGACATTATATGGGGTTCGTAAAATGTTGTGGTGGATCTGAACCATATCGCACACTTCAAAAACAACATTAATAAATTTCGAGATGTTTTACAAAGGGACATTTCACAATCGTAAAAATCCGTTAAAAACTTCTAAGAGCCGGAAGATAATGTTCTTACAAACGTATATTCTACAGGAAACACAATGAAATATCAAATTACTTTATACATGTATCCCGTAAAATATATTTGCATTTATATTGACATCGAAAATCAACGAGAAAAATGCACAACGAAAACAAGTTCATTCAAGAACCGACGTCCCGACGTGACTGATTTTTTTTATCATTATGCAACACTGCAATTATTGTCGCAACCCTATTCAGGTAATCAGTTCGAATCGAAAACACACTTCAGAATTTCGGGTTACATTTCCTGAGGTGGCACATCCACTGCACATTATTACTACTTACATTCGTTGAGTAGACGTTTGCACCTGTAGTGTTCACCACATTTACTTCCTTGGACGTTTAGCTACCTGCCCAAAAATGATACGATACTTATTTGCCCGGCAGCCGTGTGTGGCATAAAACCGCAAATGAAAGCACGATAACTTTTTGCAGCAACAAAACTGGGAATTGCTTCTATTGATGTGTACGTAGGCAAAATTCGATCAGATGTGGTTATGTAGCCCCGCCTAAAGTAAGCAAACCCCAGCCACATCTAATACGAGACCGGTGGTAATAGGGGGTTTTCATCGGTGGGGCCGGGGAACGCAGAAACGACGAAGTCAAGTGGTTGTGTGCAAAAGAAAAGCTAGTGGGAATGCGCGGTTTTACTTTGAATAGTTGAGAAACAGTTGCCCTAACCCCCGTCTATAACCCTTCCCTCTAGACCTAAGTCTAACCCATAACCCCAACAGTATTGTGTCCATCAGGTGGGGCTACCAAACCATATCTTGCCCAAAATTTGATACCTTAACAGTTCAGGGCTTAGTTGGAAATACGTAGTTTAAAAATTTGCGCGTTAGTATGAGATGGTATTAACACGGGTTGGTTCTATTCGCGCGGGCACTATAGAGGGCATTAAACAATGCCGTAGGAGTGGTTTTGGGGGTTGGCGGAATCATGGAATACAGTGCGATTTGGGAATCGACTTTTTGGGGACGGGGGGGGGGGGAGGATCGTCCTATTTCAGTCCAACCATATGTCAGTTTGATAAAATCTGGACTGTCACCGTACCGCTGACAGATCGTAACGCCAGGACAAACTGGAGCACATTAACTCATCACAAGTGCAAACCGGAGCAAATGTGCCACCATGTGGGCTACACACTTGGCGGGGGAAGGCGAAAGACAGATCTCACTTTCTTCATTTTTCTTCTTCCCCAGCATCTATCTGAACGCGGATCGGGAGAAGACCTAAGGCACTAGATGACAGGTTAATTAGGTCAGGTTTGGCCAACGTCTTGCCTGCGATGTCCTCAAATAGGGATGCTGGGTGTGCTGTGTGTCACTAAAACGGGCCACGCGGTGGATTCTATCCCGATCAGTGTACGTTTTGGATCAGGGAATGCAGTGGTACACCGTGCAAGCTATCTGCGCCCTCTGCCGCCTCCGGTTTTCTCGAATCTGTCTTGACACCGGGCTCAGATGGGGGAGGAGGAGGAGGGAGGTAGCAGCAACGAAAGTCTACCACCACAATAAAGGAACCCACGAAGAAATCACGGTTCCTGCTAACACTCCGATGTGGGGCAGACGGTGGACATCGTCTAAAACGACGGTCGGACTGTCCTGTGAATGCAGGTGAGAACAGGATGGGAAGATGCTAGGGCATGCGGGCGTTTTTGACGACGGCGATGCCGGAGGCAACAGTTGATGCGTACGTGGGATAGAGCCCCCTTCGCCCCCCCCCCCGGGTGGTCACTGGAAGCGAATGACTTACCACGCGCGATCTTGTCAAACGAAGGCACAATAGGGAATTCATCGAGGCAGGAAAAGGCCCATGGGGAGCAAAACACGGCGATGATAGTGGTAACAAGGAATGCAAACGAGATTAGTCGAAGGCAGCAATCTAAAAGAACAACCGGACAGCGAGACACCGATTTCCATAATCGGACCCCTTGCCAAACGAGTTCACCGATTCGTCGTCTAATCATCGCCTTCAAAGACTGCTCCTTTGGGTTCAACGGCAGACCGCCATGCCGCTTGGCCTTGTAAAGTTTTTTCAAGACTCAGTTGATCCCAAGGCATTTTAGTGAGGCCTTTGGAGCGCGGCAGCAGCAGCTATCATTATGAGAAAAGTGTTAAACGAAGTGAAATAAACCTCAGAGCCTACTGTCCCTAGTATGCGAGACGGAACTCGATTTTTTGGCAACGAACGATCGATGATTGGGGAAACTCATACAGTTGGAAAACGTCCGGTGAGATGGGTATGAACCACCAGTCTTCAACATACGCATCGCACACACCACCTGAGTTGTCAAAGTTAGGCCTAGCAGCCCCACGAAGAGGCCAAAAGTCATTGCAACCGTCGAATCGTGCCAAAAAATGGAAGGTCACAAATTCTACCATACAAAGACTTTACGCTTGTGGTCGAAAATGCTGAGGGGAATTTGAGAAAGTTAAAGAAGACGCTTTATTTGACTGTCTTTGAGTAGCAATCAGTTTCAGGGGATGTGCTCTCTCCACGTACAGTAGGTGGCCTAAATCATGAAATGTCAACCGAAATTCCGAAATGCGTTTTTGATTCGAAAAATTAATTAAGTAGGGTTGTAGGACTAGTCAGACTGTAACATAATTCTATAACATTTCAGTTACATCAGGATGCCGGCTTTCGAATGAACTTCTTTCTGTCCGCATGAAGAACTACATTGTGTAAAAACAACTACTTATGTAGCATGAATTTTTCTCATTGATTTTCGATGCCACTAAAAGTCCAATTATACTTCATGGAAAACACACATAAAATATTCATCCTTTTGCTCATTCGGCAGGAAATTACGTCTTATACCAATCTTATACTCAAAGGAAGGGTAAAAGTTGGTTTTCAAAAACCCTTCAAATTCCCCAATGATTTTGAACCCGTTCTTCCGTCACACTTGGATTCAGGGTTTCCAAACTGCAAGCCGTATATTTTCCGCGTACGAAAAAACCACACATTTCCGTACGGGAATAAAAGGGGACCATACAGGGTTCATAAAATTTAGCAGTGGATTTGATCCATATTGTTAACTTTACAGGCCACATTGGTAAATGCAGAAACATGACGATTTATAAACGGCCATTTCACGGTATTTAAAAGTCCCACAATCAGAAACCTTACTTAAAACCGAATTATATACCTCCGTCTAGTAAAAATTTAAAAGAAGACGTAATTATCTACCGAATGAGTAAAATAATGAATATATTTGTGCATGTTTTCCATGAAATATAATTGGACTTTTAGGAGCATCGAAAATCAATGAGATAAATTCATGCTATGTAAGTACCTCTTCTTACAGAGTGTAGTTTTTGCATGCAGCCGGAAGGAAGTCCATTCGAAAGCCGACATCCTGAGGTAACTGAATTAGTACAGAATTATGCTGCAGGCTGACAACTTTTACAACCCTACTTAATTAATCTTTTTGAAACGAAAACGCATTTCGGTTGACATTTCATGAGTTAGCCCACCTACTGTATGCTGTCAGGCTCCCCAAATAAGTCGGCAAAAACAAGACTTTTAGAAGGCTTTTCTCCGAATAAGTGCCTATTCATGGAGAAATACTTCGAAGCTCACACGTGTTGCAGAAGGCAAGCCAGTCACAATCACCAACTGACTACGGCCAGCTGATTAGTAGTTTGGAATTCTCAGTAAAACGTCCAACCATAAGCAATTCTGGTGTCCTCAACCAGTGTCTAGCAGAACCCTGAACAAATCCAGTCTGATGACAATGTGCTGACCATCTGCCACTCCAACAACAGGGGGCGCCCTCGCGGGCTCACATGGCAACTTTATCCTGGCTCCCTGAAAATGATATCCTCCTCTGCCCTAAAAACTGGCGTCCTCCTCGAGCCCGCCGCGTACAAAAAAACAGCTGGCCTTGTTCACGTTTCCGCAAGCCCTACTGCCGCCGCACGACAATAGAGAAGCGAGCAGGAGCCAGGAGAACAATGAAGTCATCATGTACGCAGGTCACTTTTTGGGGTGGTGGAGGGGGGCGGGAGGTAGGGAGAGGGATTAACAATCCTGGGTTAGCGTGACTGCTGTCAATGATGTTATCATCAGGGGACAAATTTAGAACTACTGTTCTTGCGGCTGTCGCTGATGTAACGACCAATATTAATGTAAGCACAATGACTGTCAGTATCCCACTTTAATCAGATAGTGTCCAATAGGTGCAAGAAAGTACAGTTGGCTGAAATGCGAGTCCGATTAAGACGGATAACTTAAGTGGGGTTGTAAGAGGGACTAAGACGCAAAATAATCCCGGGATATTTCAGTCACACCAGGATACCTGCCTTCCGGCCGCATGCGAAATATGCTGTTGACAAAAAAGGCTACTTCTGTATTTGCACTTGTCCAATTTATTTTTAATAACCTTATAAAATCAAGCATACTTTATAGAAAACATGCTCAAAATATAGTTTCTCCTACTCAATGGGTGGCAAATCATGTTTTCTTCAGAGTTTATATGACCACTGTAACTATCACCACAGTGACTGCAGCTAATGCACTTTAGTCACATAGTCTTCAGACGACTACTCAGATCAAGTTTGTCTCCGATGCAAGTAGTTGACTGGAGAAAAGTCGAAATAAAACTTCCGGCAATAGGATGGCCGAGGCTTCAAGGCAAAATGAGGCGTCTGCACATCGATCGTTAGCCAAGCCGGATGGGTAAACGACAACCCGAACACGACTAAACATTCTTGACTGCAACCAACAGGCGAGCTTTTGGCTAAAAAGAGTAGTGACATGAGGTTAGTATTAACTGGACGTGGATGCACGAACCTCGGGTCTTACAGTAGGTAGACTCACAAGCAGTAACATTTTTAAAACCGAATTATACCCTTCCTTCGAGTATAAAATTAGAAGACGTAATTTTCTGCAGAATGAGCAAAAAATGAATATTTTTTGCGTGTTTTCCATGAAATATAATGTGACTATTAGATGGCATCGAAAATCAATGAGACAAATTCATGCTACATAAGTAGTCGTTTTGATACAATGTAGTTTTTTTACGCGGACGGAAAGAAGTTCATTCGAAAGCCGGCATCCAGAGGTAACTGAAATATTATAGAATTCTGCTGCAGGCCGACTAGTTTTACAACCCTATTCGATCAATCTTTTCGAAACAAAAACGCATTTTGGAATTTCAGTTGACGTTTCATGAGTAAGCCTATCTACTATACGTTGCGCAATCGAAATGTGATTAATTTTTGACGGCGAACAAGGTAAAAATGGCCATTCCAATCAGCGTTGATTTTATCAGTAGACTTTGCCAATCACCGATTGCTTGCTAGAATGCGACAGACTTTAGACAGGAGATAATGAGTAAAACGTCCGCACCCCACCTTCGTACAGTTCCAGATCCGTGAAGCCACGTGGACATTTCTGCCGTCATAGTGGCGAGGACATAGACGCTGTCAGTTTAATGTAGGACTGTTGTGGGTTTATTCTGCCTTTATTCAGCCATTAAAAACCCCAAGTAGCATTATCCTGCACCAGAAACACAAACGTCCGTACGAACGAAGGCCCAGTGGCTTCCCCGAGGCAAAGAAGCTCTGATTGGTTGTCAATGGACCGGTGTGCGCTAATTCCTTGAAGAATAATTGTGCCACAGGGAATGCTAGGTCTCATCAATAGTAATTACTGATTGGAGACTGATTATTGGTATGTAGCGGCCTACTTTCCTCGAAATGGGCCAAGCAGGGTCCGGGAGTCGTTATCGGGACTGCGCACTCGTAGCAAATGCCAAAATTGGGGGGGGGGGTGGCGGCACCCCCAGACGCAGGCACATGCTGCACTACTTGCGATCCTAGCCGACCTCCCTTTTGTCTTGCAGTGTAAAATCCTGGTCAGGATCTAGCAGTCGAGACCATCGAGCTACCCCGACGATGAAACGGAGAATGGCCTCGAACATGCCCAGGCCTCTTAGTGCCTAAAGTTCTCCCTCAGGACGTACTTCACGTTTGACGGAAAAATCTACGAACAGGTGAAGGGAACACCAAAGGGTTCGCCGGTTTGGGGATTCATCGCCGAGGTGATCCTCAAGCGGGTCGAGTAGCTGGTCCTTCAGCACCACAGGCCAAAATTCTGATACCTTCGTCGTTAGGTGCTAGCGTTCAAAGAACGTCTCAACAGCGTATTCCCGGACAGACAATTCACGATGGAGGAGGAAGAAACAACCAGTAGGCCTTCCTTCATGTCCTCGCCTGTCGCAAAGATTGTGGTGGCCTAAAGACCAGTGTTCAGGAAAGCGACGAACAGGACAAAAAAATGAACTTCAACAGCAATCACCCAATCAGCCACAAACGCAGTTGCGTAAGGACGCTATATCGGCGTGTCGAGACGGATTGCAGCGAACCGGAAGACAAGGTTTCCGAATTCCAATACCTTCGACGGCTTTTCAGAGAAAGTGGTTACCCGCGCAACTTCTTTAACCGGTGCGTGAGCAAACGAGACGTGCAACAAAGTAGTACCGACCCCGAATTCCGGCGAGCAATTCCGTACGTCAAGAACGTCTCCTATGCCGTTAGTCGCATTCTTGCACAACTCGAGGTTGGAGTTGCGCACAGACCGGAGGCCACCATAAGGCGTCAGCTGATGAGACCAAAAGACCAACTGCTACGGCAAGAAACATGTGGAATCGTTTGCCGGATCTGGTGCATTTGCGGACAAAGCAACTACGTAGGAAAAACTGGAAGAATGCTCCGGACGCAAATCGCCGAACACGCGGCAGCGGTACGGAGAAATGACGCCAACTCTCAGGTCGCGGCCCATTGGACAAGACGCGGCCACGCATTCAAGTTGGATGAGGGTGAAATTCTTGCGAGAGGGGATAATCGCGTGAGCCGAAAGTTGCCTGAGTAATGGTTTACGGGACCCCAGTCTATCAACAAGTGCAACGACATGCCCACTCTATATTCGGTGCTGAGGCATAGTCTGGCCAAAGTAATTGACCACTTGCTGAACGCGCAAGCCGGTGGGCCAGATGGTCGAGCAAGCATCACGCCGGTATCCAACACGGGGGATGGAATATCAGCAACTAACAGCTTGCATGCCGGCCGTTAAGCGATTTGTGCACTAGCGGGCAAAAGTTCTCCATGAAGGGAGGAGCGGTTAATGATCATAGGTAGGCAGTAGCATAGCGACTGCATCTTATAAATCCTACGACTTTCAGCGCACGAATTGCCTGTGTCTATCACTGTCTCTGATGATGGATTCGAGCAAGAATCCGAAACGTCAGGCTCACCATAATGGGCCAAGGGATGTGGTGATACACCTAGGTGCGGGTTTTCGTAATGCCAGCCACCGGCTGCCTCTCCTACATGCGGTGCTCTTGACTCTGTCATGACACCGGACACTCAGGTGAGGGAAGAGCGAGTGCAGGAGATGCAGCGCAAGTCCACCATAACCTTAAACTAATTCATGCGCAAGTCGCCGGACTGCCTTGCGGTGACCTAGGGGGTGGTGGCGTGGTGCCTTAGAAAGGGCGCAGATAGACAGGCTAAAACGTCTGAAATCCGACATGGAACCTCTCCAGATAGGTGAAGAACCATTTTCCCCACATCTGCATGCCGTGAAGTTTAAAAGTGTGCCCCTGCTTTGGTCTGAAGGACGCGTTGATGTGGCACGCAGTTCGACAGGCAGGCTCCACAAGTGAACGAAGGATGGTAAGAACTGTAGAGGGCTATTCGAGCCTGTCGTCAAACCAGATTTCACTGGTTCAGCCTGACTGTGAACACCTATTCTGACTGTGCATGTAGACAGTGGCACTCGGTCTGTCGTCGGTCTCCTAGGAACAGGATACACTACTATAGAGGCATGGTCACCCAGCTAGCTGATACTTTGTAAGTCTGACCAGGCTTCCTTGACAGTCCGAAACTAAAGTTAAAAGGGATGCGCGTGAAATGACCAGCTAAGTGGGCGGGTGGGGAAGGACAGCAATGAAGGAGGGTGGGGGGGGGGTGGGGGAGACGGGCATAAAGTTTACATAACAGCCCACTTAGTGAAATTCGTGTATCAACTGCATTTCAGAGATGGCTGTCGGCAGCCCGCCCCCGCCCCCCCCACGCCCCCTTGCTTTTCGAAACAGCCAATAGTGGAAAAGGGGTGAGCACGAGTGCTTTTGAGACATAGAGAGCGGGAAAACGATACAGTAAACGCTAACGGCTACAAAGCGGCCTCCGAAGAACATTGTGCATTGTTAGCTCCTCCCGACAGGAGGCTGGCATTCAGTAGCCTCAAAAGTACTCCTTGTTTTTTGCTCTCTCGGTCCACCCTGAGTGCGCTAAAAGACTATTTGCGGGCGCAGGACACTTTGTTGCAACAAGGGCGGGCAAATGTTTCCGACGGCGCGATTAAGTTCGGCCTTGAGGGCCGCTTTATACAGACGCCAGAAACACACAGAGACTCGAAAACAGAAAAAAAATGCAGAGGACCGAAATAGGGCAACAAAATAGCCAGTGGCGTGGACCATTTTGCTCTGGAAGGAGGATTTAGGGCAAATGTGGACTGCTTTTGTCGCTTCGTTTACATAAGGGGTAGGTTTTTTCTGAGATAACAAAATTTGCACTTTTCGATGGTTCTAGATTGCGTTGAGCTTCCGATCGGCCTTGAAATATTGCTGAATACCTGTATGATTTTCAGTGTTTTCAATCGAATGGCGTGAAGGACAGATTCTGTATTACGTATTAGTTAAAACCTTAAAAATAAGATATTTCTTCAAGGCGTTTACCGGAACAGCTAGTGTTTGGGCGTCCTTTCCAATGTAGGTCGTTTGGGTCATATTTGATGATTCACTCAGCACATAAAACTTCATCATCGGATAAAATGTACAGTAGATGTGCTAGCTCATGAAATGTCAACCAAAATTTTGAAATGCGTTCTCGTTTCGAAAAGATAAATAAAGTAGTGTTGTAAAACTAATCATGACGCATCATAAATCTATAATGATACAGTTACCTCACGGTGTCCGCTTTCGAAAGAATTTATTTTCGGCTGTATGCAAGATCTATACTCTGTAAAAAATGACTACTTAAGTAGTATGCCATTTTCTCATTGACTTTCGATGTCCTTGAAAATTCAATTATACTTCATGGAGAACATGCATAAAAATATTCATTCTTTCACTTATTCGGTAGAAAATCAAATCTTCTCCCAATTTCATACGCAAGAGAAGAGTATAATTCGGTTTTAAAAAACTTTTCTAATTCCCGAATAATTTTGAACCCGACCTGCGGTTACACTTGCATTCAGGGTTTCAAAACTACAAGCTGTATATTTTCCGTGTACGGAAAACCATGCATTTCTCTACGGTGTTAAAAGGAAACCATACGAGGTTCATAAAATTAAGCAGTGGATTTGAGCAATATCGTTAACTTTACAAGCCACATTTGTAAATGCAGATACATGACATTTCATGAACGGTCATCTAACGGTATTAAAAAATCTCACAATTAGAAACTTTTTTAAAACCGAATTATACTCTTCTTTTGAGTATGAAATTGGAAGAAGACGTGATTTTCTACCGAATAAGTAAAAGAATGAATACGTTTAAGCATGTTTTCCATGAAATATAATTGAATTTTCAAGGGCGTCGAAAATCAATGAGAAAATTGCATACTACTTAAGTAGTCATTTTTTGCAGAGTATAGATCTTGCATGCAGCCGAAAGTAAGTTCTTTCGAAGGCCGATACCCTGAGGTAAGTGGATCATCATAGATTTATGCTGCATCGTGATCAGTTTTACAACACTACTTAATTTATCTTTTGGAAACGAGAACGCATTTTGAAATTTTGGTTGACATTTCATGAGTTAGCACATCCGCTGTATGTCCTCGTATAACATCCAGATGTGTAATATAGCTCATGGAAACTGTCCGTCTGCATAGAAAGATTGCATGGCCGGCGACGGGGATTGCGTTCTGCGATAGTGAATGCACTGCGGAGTGGCCATTAAAATACTGATATTTTAATCGTTCCGTCTCTGAATTAGGTACACGCAAAAACAGATCGTTCGAAAGGCAATGTTGCAAAAGTTCAAAACTGAAAATAACTATTTGGTGGTAGTCATTTTGGTGACAAAACATGGAATTTTCCAAATGGCAAAATAAGGGTACTAACTTGTACAGATTTTCCAATACGACTTCTAAAAATTGGTAAAACTTCTGCTTCTTTAAAAATAGCACGTATGTAAGCAAACTGATTCCCACGGTTGGCATCAATCAAAAAAAATTCTAAAGTGCGACAAACTCTTAAAAAACACGTTCAGATGCGCAACCGAAGTCTGGGGAAAATATCAGCATAGGTAATTGGACGACGGTATTGAGAAGGACCCCACTTAACTGTCAGTGGATCGCATCGTATGAAGTTTCATATTGGCATACATTTGCAGAAATCACACTGCCAGAAACGGTTACTTCCCACGACCACACGCCTTAACTGAAAATCCGTTATTTTGTGTGAAATTGTTTAATACTTAATTACTACTCCCATTTTCGTTGTAGTAAAATAGCGTAGGACAACACTTCCGGCATAAATCCAGGCAATTTCTGTGTTTTCTTTCATTTGCCAGCTTACTGTCTAGCGTGCTACCCCAGCCATACAACTCCCCTTACCATAAATCACATATGACAGGATCAACTGTCTACGCACAGTTAAGTGGAGTCCCTCTCTATATATACCGTTGCCGGAAATTGCCCGAAAAGTCGCAAAGTCCATTTTCTCTCGAATTTATGAACATTTTGCTCGACATAATTACGTGGACACAATCTCTGCAAAAGGAATGGACATTTTATTGATGAGGCTCAACGAGTGGGCAAAATGCGCAACGTTTTAGACGTCCAAAAATTCCCATATTACTTTCTGCCATCAGGCTTCATGAGATAGGTCAGATAGTGTATCTATGTATGGGGGAACCGGGGGTGCGAAAAAACTCTCCCGCCCCCTACGTTTGGGGGATAAAGACAGACTACTGTTGGAGGCCATATCAATGTGCATCTATTCATTCATTTGCTCCTGTGGAGCAGGATAAATCAAGCGCACAACGAGACGCCTGGTAAAGAGGGCGCGTGAACATATACCCGCCTGGTTAGACGGAGATGAGACTCGATCGATTTCGAGTTCTATTCTCGCGCATTTAATCGATACGAACCACCGAGTCGACGCCAAGAAAGCATTTAAGGTTGTCTACCGGACATCAACATGCTCCTCTAAGGGCCTACGCCAACGGATACTAGCAACGGCCGAGGCAGTAGCTATACGGTTAGTGAATCCGGTGTTATGCTGTCAGAAAACTCTGACACAAGCACTTTTGCTGCCGTGGCCAATGCCAACCCTAAGTGATGAAGCCATGCCGCCTCAAATCCCTAATCACGATGATGGGTACTCCGTGTACTCAACCCTAGAACATCACTCAAAGACTCTCTTACCCCCTTCCCCTAGCTCTGACGACAAACACCCGCCGACCTTCTCATGCGGGCGGCGTGGGGATGATGAGTGTTAGTGACTTAATAGCCCTTGAGACATCTATAAACACTGCTGATTTTGTACATTTTCATTCCTTCATGTAATTGTAGTGGCCTGAGGAAGAACTACCGAAAACGCGTATTCGCCAACTTGACTTTTCAATTGTAACATGGGAATATTTGCGGAGCATTTGCATTCGTTCTTAGTAACGCCATTTATCAGTTCTGCACTTCATTGATTCTGACTTACTTTGTTCCAGCTTGGTATATTTTTTTAACAAATATTCCCCATTTTAACTACATATATGCCACAACTTTTATCAAGCAAGCATCTTTTTCGTTCATTTACGATGATAAAGTTTTTGCCCCCCACTCTACCGCGGAGTACTTTGACATTTATTTACTATGTTCCTAAGCAGGCTACGTAACCACAGAAAAAGGCTCACTTAGATTTTGCCCCGATCTGGTAGAGAGCTTACTCTTTTGAGTCACAGAGCATGCGAGATTTTCGGTTTTAAAAAACTCTTCTAATTCCCGAATAATTTTGAAACCGACCTGCTGTTACACTTGCATTCAGGGTTTCAAAACTACAAACTGTATATTTTCCGTGTACGGAAAACCATGCATTTGTCTAAGGTGTTAAGAGGAGACCATATGAGGTTCATAAAATCAAGCAGTGAATTTGAGCAATATTGTTAAATTTAGAAGTCATATTCGTAAATGCAGATACATGACGTTTCGTGAACGGCCATTTAACGGTATTAAAAAACCTTACAATATGAAACTTTTTTAAAACCGAATTATACTCTTCTTTTGACTACAAAATTGGAAGACGTGAATTTCCACCGAATAAGTAAAAGAATGCATATTTTTATGCATGTTTTCCATGAAATATAATTAAATTTTCAAGGGCATCGAAAATCAATGAGAAAATGGCATGCTACTTAAGTAGTCATTTTTTGCAGAATAAAGATCTTGCATGCAGCCGAAAAAAAGTTCTTTCGAAAGCCGACACCGTGAGGTAACTGGATCATTATAGATTTATGCTGCATCATGATTAGTTTTACAACACTACTTAATTTATCTTTTCGAAACGAGAACGCATTTCGAAATGTTGGTTGACATTTCATGAGTTGGCACATCTACGGTATGCACACAGGACTATGCTCGCGAAGGTTGAGAATGTGGTGCTAGACGTCTCGAAAAGCCGGGTCACCCAAAAGCACGTACAGTCCACGAAAAATAAAAGCAAATGCAGACTAACCGAGCCGGGAGAAAGGTAGGAAAAAAAAACCAGTTCTCATATGCAACAAATGATGACATTCCGATGGTCGCAAGCCTGGGAATAGCCGTGGGGCAGACTTGCGTAGCATCCACGGCTGCTCCTGACTCTTCTCTCACACTCTTGAGCGAGAGAATGTCAACACGATCAAAGAGGTTCGAGATCAGTAGCTGACAGAACTAAAAAGCACGTCTACACGGACCGTGCGCGGGCTTTCGCGAGAGCAGTTCAGATCTTGCCCCAGTTACGGATTCTCGGACCTGATAAGGTCCACGGCAAATCGACTGTAGTGAGAAATACGCTGAATTATCGTGCGAATGTAGTTCCCAGGGTTCACCTCTATCTTCCCCCCCCCTCATGCTCCACTTGACTGTCGAGGGTGACGAAATTGGGCGGAAGGGCTGTCGCGGTGTGATGGCTTAAGTCATGCCAACATTCACATCGCGTGGACTCAACACAGCCCAAAAAACGCCTATCGTAACACGGTCTGACCCCGGCCCCCCCCCCCTTTCCGCCACAGCGACTAAATCCGCAAACCCACACGTCAGTACTGGGCCCCAGAAATACCGGTGGTCCTCCTCAATCAAACACATTTTGGAACAACTCTCAAGTGACTTTGTGTGTCACAGGAAAACAGAGGAGTACGACAGGAGGGCGCTCAAAAATTTCTAAAAGCGCCTGTGACGTTGGTGGTCACAGGCGTAGACCATCAGGGCTGCAAAAAAGGCCCGCGGACTGGAACACAGAACGGGCAGGTGAAAAAAAAGAGGGAGAGAGACAACTTCGGGGCCAGGGCGAATGTGTGTGCTTGCGTCAGTGTTTTATGGCCAACGCATGCCCCAAATGGTCCGGTTCACTAAAACCAAGCTGGGAGGAAGACGGGGAGGGGGAGAACGTGTGGAGGTGAAACGAACAGACCCTCTCACCCCACCGGAAAGGTCTCTGATAGCCCAGCAGGTCGAGGGTGGTGACCGATTAAACTGCAAACTATGCATGCGAGAGCGCCGGCGAAAGAGGCCGATTTCCAGGCGCGTCGAATGGGCGCATACGCAGGCCAACATGACCTGCTTAGGTGAGAAAACATGGCACGGGAAAGAAAATAAAATCCACACAAAAACAACCCCCGACGCGTGCGCACGCGCGGGAGCGCCAAAAACTGACAAAATTTTTCAAATGGGCTTTTCGTTACAGGTGTCTTTTAGGCGGAATGGTTTCCCAGCACACATACCATCAGGGAAAAAATATCCTTACGCGCGTAATGTCCTCCTCGTTACTGACCTATGCGCAAAACCGCGGTTTTTTGAGTGTACACCTTGTCGGAAATTACGTCGCCATTAGTTAATTTTTTGCGGAATTAAAGAGACCAATCTTTCAGTTTTAAAGAGGGTAAAAAGTGGTGCAGGTTTGGAAGAACAGTCCAAGATTTTAAGCGTTGCAAAAGTTTTCAAACTATGCCCCATGGGATTTCGGTTAAACCACTTGGATGCGTCACTCTTTGTGCGTCCCTGTGAAGAGGTCTCTGGAGATTTATAAAACAGTGTAATGAATACAGATCTAGTTATAAGCGCTACGCGAACAATTACGGGTAAGATGTAGTTATATAAGCGCAACGGATGGACGCAATTCAGTTGACCTACTTAATTATTTTGACTTGGCGTAATTACGTTGGCGTTGTGTTGCTGTGCGTTGCGATGTGTGCTCTGTTTGCGGCCTTGTTTCTATGTTGCCGTGCCTACCTTTTTGGCTCAATTCCAGTGGTCCTTCTTGACTTCCGCCCAGTCGTCTCCCTCAACCTTCCGCATTGGAGGTTTCAGGGTTAGGGTTGCAATTAAGGGTTAGGGCTTAAGGGATATGGCTAGGGGTTAGGGTTAGGAGATAGGTCAACTATTTCGTAACCACTCAAAGTACAACGACGCACTCCCAATAGTGGTTATTTTGCATACAATTATTTGACCTCGTCACCGGCCCCACCTGTAAAACTGGTGACTGGTGTTTGTTCACCTCCGATGCGGCCACATAACCACATCGGACACAATTACGGAAGCATCTAAACAGATCTCATGGAAACACCCCTAAATGTGCAAAGTTGAAAGTTCCCTTGGAAGTTTGAAATGTGGAGACGTTGAATAATCTGGTTTTAAGGCAAGAGAGATATTCTTAGGAAACCAGAGTAAGTTAATACTCCACGGGTTCTTTGGAAACAATTTCCTGCTTCTAAATACTAAAGATGCATGGGCATATATTATACACCGGATATATTCGAGCAATCGCTGGATAAGTATATTAACGTCATATAGGGCTATTTTTTAACCAAAATGCAGCTGTATCGGGCTAATCGGTCTGCTTAGAGCTAAAAGGTACTGACCTCTCCCCTCCCCGGCTATCCGGAGCCAACCGACTCGGTCTTGGCGGCCTCAATACGCTCGCACCTTATCCGGCTGGCCGAGTAGCGCGTCCCGGAAGTTATCTGCTTTCACAACCTTATGAGCAGCAGGAAGTCTCGCCTAAAAAGACCGGTAACTCTCCTTCCTTCTTGAATTCGGACAGGAGACAATCAACCGCCCAAATAAAGCATCTAGCCTTTCTCGTGAAATGTTCACTTTTGTTTTGAAATGGGGTTTTGGCTAGAAAGTATTATCCGGGTGGGGTTATAGTATGGATAAGCATAACCTCAAGCTACTTCAGTCAGAACAGGAGGCCGGTTTGTGAATGAACTTCACTTGGTCAAAGGTGGCTGCTAATGTTGCATAAATTTATCTCATTGACTTTCGACGATATAAATGTATAAATATATTTTATGCAAAATCTGAAAAAAATATTCCTTTTTGTACTCAGTTGTTAGCGAAGTACGTCCTCTTTAAATGACATACATGCGTAAAGGAAACCCATCGGTTTTAAGAAACTTTCAGTTCTCGGATAGTTTTGGCTCCGACTAGCAGTTGCGCTTGCGCTAAGGGTTTTAGAACTACATGCTGTACAATTTGCGTGTGTATGTGGCAAATAATAGATCTTTCCATGCTATAAACACGAAATCATGTAGGGCTCGTGGAAGTCTGCAATGGAGATGGGCTATGTTGTATAACTTGCAAGTGGCATTACTAAGTAGACAGACACGATGTTTTATAACCAGTCATTTTAGGGCATGAAAAAATTTCATAATTATGGACTATTTAAACACGAAACGATCTCCTTTTCCTAAGAAAAAATTTGAAGGAGACGCAATCTACTACTCTGAAATGGGTTTTTAGTTAGGAAGTAGTATCCAGGCGGGGTTACAATCTTGGCCATAATGCAGCATAATCTCAAGCTTTGATTGGGCGTCTTTCCGCCCGCTCGCTCGTCTGCCAATGTAATCTGAATTTATGTCTTTGATTTTCGATGGCCTCATGAGTCATAATATATTTTATAGAAAACGTGGGAAAAATACCCCGTCTGGTACCCATTAGCTGCCACATCACGTTCCCTTCAAATTTTATACTTGAAAAAAAGGGTAACCTCGTTAGGTTTTGAGAAATTTTTCCAATTAAGTAGGGTTGTAAACCTAGTCAGTCTACAATATGATTCTATAATATTTCAGTTACCCCAAGACGCCGGCTTTCGAATGAATTTCCTTCCGACTGCATGCAAAACTCACACTCTGAAAAAAGTGACTGCATAAGTAGCATGAATTTTTCTCATTGATTTTTTATGCCCCTAAAAGTTGAAATAAATATCGTGGAAAATATGCATAAAAATACATTCTTTCGCTCATTTGGCAGACAACTACGCCTTCGTCGAAACTTATACTCGAAGGAGTGATATCATTCGGTTTTAACAAGGGCTGTAATTGTGGGACTTTTAAATACTGTGAAATGACGGTTCATAAATCGTAATGCCTCCGCATTTACCAATGTGGATTGTAAAGTTAACAATACGTATAAATTGAAAGACAGGTATTTCCAATGCTACGGCCGCTCAGGCACCAAAACTAACCACATGGCGAACTCTCCCATACGTCAAAAATGTATCTGAACTTGTCGAAACACAATTGAAAAAGTACCAGATACACGTAGCACACCAGCCGGCAACTACCTTACGCACACAGCTTGTGCACCCTAAGGACAGGGTCGGCTACCTCGAAAGAAAAGGTGTCGTCTACAAAATTCCATGTTCTAGTTGTGATGCCGTTTATTGCGGCCAAACTGGGAAATCTGTCTCAACCCGTATACATGAACATCAGTTAGCGGTGAAGAGACGCGACCATCTATCCCAGGTGGCCATGCACACACCAGACACTGGGCATAAATTCGCATGGGAAAACACTCGCATTGTTGGCGCCAGCCAAACAAGGAAAGGACGCGAATTCCTGGAGGCAATGCACTCAGATGAGGCATGCATCAACCGGCATATCGATTTAGATGCCACATACAAGATCGTTAAAGACAGATTCAAACTGAGTCAGCCAATTCCGAGATGACAAGCTTAACCAATCATGGATTCCTTTTGCCAGACTCAGTCTAAAAGTTAAGTGTTTTTGCACACCCGTTGTCTGAAGACGAGCTGGGGAACCAGTCTCGAAAATTCACAATAAAATTTTGCTGTTTTCCAAAGAACTTCACCTTCCTAGTTAACAATACGGATCGAGTCCACTGCCAAATTTTATGAATCGTATATGGTCCCCCTTTATTACCGTAGGGAAATGTGTGGTTTTCCGTACGCGGAAAATATACGGTCTGTGGTTTCGAAACCATGAATCCAAGTGTAACGGTAGAGCGCGTTCAAAATTGTTCGAGAATTGGAAAAGTTTTTAAAAACCAAATTATATCCCTTCTTCGAGAATAAAATTGGGAGAAGACGTAATTATCTACTGAAAGAGCGAAAGAATGAATGTCTTCATGTATGTTTTCCATGAAATATAATTGGATCTTTAGGGGCATCAAAAATCATTGAGAAAAATTCATACCACTTAAGTGGTTATTTTTACAGAGTGTAGTTTTTGCATGCACCCGGAAGGGAAATCATTCGAAAGCCGGCATCCTGAGGCAACTGAAATATTGCGTATTTATGCTGCACAATGATTCGTTTTACAGCCCTACTTAATTAATCTTTTCGAAACTAAAACGCATTTCGGAATTTTGGTGGACATTTCATGAGTTGGCCCACCTACTGTATGTATTCCTATCTAACAGAAAACACATTTCGAAGTTTTGGCTAGTATTTCATGAGATGAGGCGGATAACGTAGGTGTACTAGGAGTCCTAGTAAATCCGCGCTATACCAACTGGTCGATTTTGTATTAATTTCCCACTACGCCACATTAATTGGCATTACTGTATCGCCTTCTCTTGTATGTCAAATGTCTGCAGGATGTCATCCGAATAGAAATGACAATGATAAATAGGCTTGTGTAGTTATTTACCGTACAGACAACATAGGTAGCAGCTAAACGCCCAGACACGCGTGTTTCGCCGTTCTTTTGTCTGTCCCTTCCACGAGCAGAAACCAAATGTACGTAAACGTGGGGAAACCGAAGGTAAACTGTAACCAAGCGGTGCTGTTATCGCTACCGAGTGATAAAAAATCGGACACCGACATGACGCAAAGGCCTAACACAAAATATGTTTCTAGGGTTGACCTGACTTGCAGCTACATTGCCCCTCCCATACCTGAAACAAACTCCAAGACCGACAGTTGCATGGGCGATTGTCGATCGCAAGATTTTCCGATAGCTGTATGACTTTAGACACCTACGAAGATGCGGTCGCTAAAACAAGAAGTTTATTGGCACGAGGTCTTGGATTCGCACTCGAAGGCATCGCCAGAGACGGTCGCAGATAAGGGCAATGAAGCCACAATGGGCGCAGTTGCCACGTAATCATAGATCTACTATAATTAACGGTATAAGCAGTCAACTTCGACCATCGTTGTCGACGATGTCTGCTGTGTGCTCCGCAGCCGGGTGACTTAAAGTTAAAATAAGAACAGACCTGCTCCGCATCTACCGCACTCTCTCCACCTCCTTCCCACCTGGGCCCGGTGTCAAAACAGAGACAAGTAGACCGGAGGTGGGAGGTGCAAAAACCCGCACTTAGGCATACCACCGCACTCCCTGGTCCACAACGTACACTGGCCAGGATTTTGCCCAACCGGCGCGGCGGGAGACGGCACGTGGGTGTGCCACCACAATCAATCACGACATATACTGGGGTGTCGAAACGCACTTCTTTGAGACTCTAGACTCAAAGAAGAGCGGTAAAGCAGCGGCAGAAACGGGCGGCACGACAGATATTGTAAGAGGCGCAGAGGTGGATTCCGGTTCTTTAAAAGATTGTGGGAGAAAAGAGGAACAAAATACGATAGTGTGAACCCCTGGATTACAGAAGGGCAAATCAAGACCGAAGGAAAATTGGGGTGAAAAAAAGTGGCAGGAGATAAATCACTGCGGTGAGAGCTGTCACCATACACAGGTCTAAGAGGAAACCACCTGAAACAAGGCCACACCACTGATGGGTCGACAGTGATTAACGGTCTGAGGGGTAAAACGCGATCATGTGGACTGGGGATCTTGTCAAGACGCCGCCGCCGAGGCTGGGGGCAGAGGGCAGTTGACCTGCCTTGTCCCTACACGGGTCAGCCCGCTGGTACGAGGACGGCCGTCGGAAGCAGCATCACCCAAGAGGGGCTAATTACTGAGAGATAAATGACGGGGTTTGTAGTCTGCTCCCCTCCGGCAGTCGAACACTTATTTTCCGGCTGAAAAAAAACTCGTTCAACGACAATCAGCTCTACAAACCCTCCAGTCTGAATTCGGTGAGGCGAGCGTTTCAAAAGTGTCAGTTCGGACAATCGTTGTTTGCAAAGGCACGCCCACGTACTGGCTAGTGTAGTGGCGGCCGAGATATTCGACAGGAGAGGCTGCCTCATCTGCAGCATACCATCACCAAATACGTGACGGCGCCATAGCGACTCCGACAGAAATAGTGGTGCCGTGTGCGTCTTACTACTCACTTAGCCAGAACATCAGCAACCTACTAGAGAACGAACCAGAGACAGAAGGTGAGAGCCATGAACGAAAATCGCAGAAAAGACCGTGAAGAAAATCATTGCAAGGTGATTTTGAGGATGCTTTTAGGCAGTATGCTGTGCATATCTACCCAATTAAGAGACGGAAATGGTTTGGCGTGAGTCGTTAGAGAGATGTGGTGTCATCTAGAAGGCACTTTATTGCAGTGGATGCGCTGGACTCACACGTTGGCCGTATCGGATTCTGGCAGGCGTGATCGGAATGCGTACCACAACAAATGCCAACATTTGGGGTGCAGTGGCAGCCCCAGTTGCCGGTTTATGTAGCCGCTTCCGCCTCATTTTGCTGTTGGCCAAAATACTGGTCAAGTGGTTGTTGTGAACCAGGTGGTATGGTGGCACGCCTAGGTGCGGGCCCGGCCGCGCCAGCCACCTGCGGCCTCTCCCGCCTCCGGTCTTCTAGACTTGGTATGGCCCCAGGCCCGGGTGTGGAGGAGGAGAGAGTGCGGTAAATGCTGTGCAAGTCCACTCTCACCATAAACTAATTCACGCAGAAGTCACCGTGCCTGCTCTCACCCTGTTGTGGAGTACACGGCGGATATCGCCGGTCACGGCGGTTGAACAACCACTCACTTGCATCTTTACGACGGTAGAGCGGGTGATCCAAGAAGCGACAGAATAGTCCTCAGTGGCTAACGAAATCTTTAGTGGCAAGGTCTACACCCTGAAGTCGCGGCTGCCAAAGGCAAAGTGAATGAGCTAGCTCGTCTGAAATTCATGAGTCCAAACTTACCACACTCGGCGTATGGTCAGCCACAGGTGCACAAAGCAGATTCACCCCTATCACTCATCGGATCACCTACCGACCGAATGTCAAAGTGGTTGAGCAGGCATCTAACTGATGGACCGCATTACATCAACAACTCTAACGCATTCTCCGAAGGACTTAAGGCCTAGCGGTAGGTTCTGAGGAATACATCCTGCCCACTGATGTCGTCGCCTCGTTAACCACAGAATGCCTGCAAGATAATCCTGTTGCGATTAACACGCAACATGTTTTAGACGTGCTTACTTTCTGTCTTAGAAACTACTGCCAATTCAGCGATTTGCACTGCCCACAGGTTAGTAGAGCCGCAAAAAGCTCGTCAATATTAAGGCTAAAGGCGACTAGAAGATGTTGTTCTAACTTTCAAGCTCCTCTTTACGTGGACTAAACCTTTGTCACTGTAAAGAACTGTGAAAACAAATGACTGCATCAGCGGCTGCAAGACGTCCTTCCCGGCAACAAAGTTTACTCGTGAGGATGACAGTCTGGAGCTTCTGGATGTTGGCATAGAAAGGCCTGAGTGATGGTGGCTTCAGAAAAAGTGTTTATAGGGAGGGATCTAGTGACGAGATTATCCCAAGTTGGGGAAGAAATCATCCTACAGCTCACGGAGGATGCTGCGGTGACGATCTATCCAGGAAGAAAACTAGCTTACCTACGCTGGTTGGTAGAAGAAGAAAATTGGCTCTCCGGAACAGGTTTATTTAACTGCTGACGTTTCAAAGAGCTGGGTCGGCTCTTCATTGTCAAAGCGAAAACTGCACCTAGTCGATCAGAAATTTAGTTTAAAGCGGCAAGTTGTGTTGGCCGGCCTCATGCTGATCGATGTTTTTCCTCTCCTCCCGCTACGTCGGCCTCTCAGGAGATGGTTGACGGGCGTTTTTGCCTGTGCGCTTTATGAGTCACCACTCCGTCGAGGGGAGCTGATTGGACTTTAGTCGGGCGGTCGGTCTGGCGGTTCTTGTTCTTCCTCACCGAGTAAGCTCAGCGTCGGGCTATCTCCGTACTGCCTTCTTAAGTCAGGTGTGGTTGTTTAGTCCTGAGCTCTACGACTGTGTTAACGTAGGACTTTATAAGCTGCAGGAAGGTCCAGATGCCTGTTGATAGAGTGGGCATCGGAGAACCACGCTTCGAGAGTTAGCCGTTCTGTTTTTGTGTTGCCTCGGCCTAAGATGGTAGCCCTCTGGAGGTCAAAAGTATGCGGACACAACTACGTTTGTGAGACAGAGGATGGTTGCTGTTGAAGTGTAGGATCTGTCTCGTGTCGGTGGATTTTCGGAATACTTTAGTTTGCAGCTGTCCAGTGGTACACCGGCGCACAAGTACGTCAAGGAAGGGCAGTTGGTTGTTTGTTTCCGCTTCCATCGTAAATTGTATATCCGGGTCAACCGAGTTCAGTAGTTCCTTTAGGTGTTCAATTTCAGTTGTTTTGACAACGACGAAGGTGTCATCGATATAGCGGGCCAAGAACTTCGGTTGATATTTGGTGAAGACCAAGTGTTCTACCCGCTGAAGAACTACTTCAGCGACTAGGCCTGATATAGGGGAGCCCATAGGAGTGCCCTTTATTTGTTCATACGTTTGTCCTTCAAAGGTGAAATAGGTCTTGAGACAGTATCGCAGAAGCTCGAGCAGATGCTTAGACTTCAGAGGTCTGTCTCTCTACTCATACCGCTCTGCCAATAGTTGGTCCACAACATCTCTCGCTAGTTGCAGCACGCCAGAAGATAAATAGCCGAGCGATTGTACCTTGTGGACCTATTTGCAGCCAATGGTTATCCTAGACATTTTATTGAGAGAAGCAGACGTTGGGCGTCCAGACGACGGCCAAATGTGCAGCAACCCGAAGTCTGGAGGGCCATTCTTTACGTTAAAGGCGTCTCTGGAGCGGTCTGGCGACTGTTTTAACCCAACAGAGTAGGCATAGCCCATCGACCACAAGCAACAATTCGACGTCGCCTAATGCAGCCCAAGGACCCATTGCCACCCGCTGAAACCTCAGCAGTCATCTACAAAATAAATTGCAATGAGGGCGACTGCAACTGTGTGGGCGAAACCGGGCGGAAATTGCAAACTCGCCTACAAGAACATAAATCGGCCACTCGGAGGTTAGACCCTAACTCTCAACTAGCTACACACGTTAGAGAAACGGGGCATACTTTTGACCTCCAGAGGGCTACCATCTTAGGCCGAGGCAACACAAAAACAGAACGGCTAACTCTCGAAGCGTGGTTCTCCGATGCCCACTCTATCAACAGGCATCTGGACCTTCCTGCAGCTTACAAAGTCTTACGTCATCACAATCGTAGAGCTCAGGACCAAACAACCACACCTGACTTAAGAAGGCAGTACGGAGATAGCCCGACGCTGAGCTTACTCGGTGAGGAAGAACAAGAACCGCCAGACCGACCGCCCGACTAAAGTCCAATCAGCTCCCCTCGACGGAGTGGTGACTCATAAAGCGCACAGGCAAAAACGCCCGTCAACCATCTCCTGAGAGGCCGACGTAGCGGGAGGAGAGGAAAAACATCGATCAGCATGAGGCCGGCCAACACAACTTGCCGCTTTAAACTAAATTTCTGATCGACTAGGTGCAGTTTTCGCTTTGACAATGAAGAGCCGACCCAGCTCTTTGAAACGTCAGCAGTTAAATAAACCTGTTCCGGAGAGCCAATTTTCTTCTTCTTCTTCTAATAATCTTCCCGGATCTCTAAACTTTTCCAATCTACGCTGGTTGGTTCAATTTAAATAACACCCGGCTGGTGTTCAGCAGAACTGCCTCGGGCGTTAGACACAGTCGCGAGGTGTCGTCCCCAATGGGGAAAGTCGTGCCTAAAAAATTCTACTCGCCGGTTTTATATGCACGGGACGTTCGAAATTATCGTTCGGTAGTTGAGTAATTCTTGCAGTCGAGTTGCCCACAAGCTAGCGTACTTACTGTGCATGACGTTGCGTCAAATTAATGATTCTCGTCCCTAAAGACCAAGCGAAAAACTTAGTTTAACGCATCTTATACACCAAGCGCTCTTGTGCGGATGTTGGTTGTACGGGTCGACGCCTAGGCACTCTTATTAACGGATTTCCATCGGCGTGACCCCTCTGTCCCTTGTGTCTTCGCGCGCGCGCCCTCGTGCGTGATTACCGAATTAATTGGGATGAAACTGAGGTGCCCGTTGTGACCAACACAAAAAGAGCCTGGTAGTCCAAACAGGGGGTGGTGTCAACCGTCATATTGACCGAGGCGTTCACTAAGAGGGTCTGTGAGCATGGGTCACCGGCTCTGGCTCTCATCTCAACTGAACGAGCACTAATTCGACCGCCTGCAGTCTCACAGATGCAATATCACCCATCTTCCAAACACTCCCCCCGAGTCGTAACCGTGCGCATCGTAAGTCTGCCGTAATTCTGCCCCCAGCTCACACCCATCTCTTTTCAACTTATCTCGCTAGGGATGCCTACCTTTCAATACTTACGCATATATATGCATATATATATATATATATATATATGCACCTGTTTCTCTCTTAGGCTCCTACAAGTCTAACTGAAAAACGTTTGGAAATGTGGTCTGCGTTCCGGTGTCCTACGCTGACTTGGTCAAAAGCCCTGTGGTTGGATTTGAATGGCACATTCCCAAGAATTGTGTAACTAAGGTGAAGCCGTTAAGCCAGATGGGAGAGTGCAGAATGGAATGTTTTCACAGCAAAACACGCAGGTACCACAGGCACAACATTCAGCCCACAGTATCCACGATCCGGCGCTGTCGGAGACTGCAATACATCGTTAGCAGAGGAGGCAATGCGGTGGAAGGGAAGGCGGAGTTCGCGGTGCATGCAGAAGGGAGGAGGGGAACGCCAACCTCGTCGTCTGGGGGTGGGCCGCATCAATTATGCAGTCAGAGCCATGCGTCTACCTCAGACTGAGAGTCAGTACAAGGGACGGCCAGGCCCAGACTCGTCTGGCTGGCCCGGACAAAAGACGGGAACAAGAACAACACCCCCTCCCGGACTAGAAAATCTGACCAAAGCGGTGAAACAGTAATCGTGGACGCTGTCAAGAGCCGGCCACCGAACATGCAGTATCGCAAATACTCCTAGAGAACTTATTAAGCCTTGGAGGAGTGTGTGTGTAATCGGCGCCTAGATCCTGTCCCTCGTAGTAGGAATTCAGAGACAGTTCTACCACATTGTCTTCAGCCTGTTCTAACAGTAGACTGATGACTGAAATACTCCGCCGGAGCGAAGTGCTCTAATTGTGACGAAGATGAGGGGATTTCTCTCGCAAGGCTTGTCTCGATGTCGGACTGGCTCCATACTGTCCATAAGACTTCTGGAAGTAATCGATTAGAGAGACGAAAGTTAAAATTGTCGATGAGCTCGGTATATTTCAGATGTATATAGGGCAAAGGATCAGCGGCACAGCATTCGGATTAACGCTTAGTAGACAAACGAGTACGCGGATGAGCAGCAGGTTATCCAGACTGGGTATGGCTGGTTGAAGATGGCTGATAAGTCAGAAACAGTCCTTCGCCGGCTGGCAGGGACAGCCACCTAACCATTCTGATAGTAGCGTTGAAATGCAAGTACAGATACAGTGCGGTCAGTGAGGCCGCCTTCCCTTCATCTTTGAATTCCTCGGGAGGTGGAGTACGCGAAACCACATCTGGACCTCGAGGCTTCAGTCAACTTAACCCCAAGTCGTGCCCCGTGCATTTAAAGCCAGATCCTTCCGTTAACATCCTTAGATTGGCATTTATCGATCGAGGACCCACCGGGGAGCTGAAGCCTCATGCATCGGTCAAACACGTGCCGGGACTTTTAGCATGTACCCACAGTAGCTGGTCTGTTTCATGAAATGTTAATTAAAATTCTGAAATCAGCTCTCGATTATAAAAGATTACGTGGGTGCGGCGTGATTCTGAGGTATTTCAGTCAAGCCAAGATGTCGGTTTTTGAATGCGCATCCTTCCGGCTGCCCGCATATACGAGTTTCGGTAAAATGTGGCTGTTTAAGTAGTATGTATTTCACCCATCGATTCTTAATGCGCTTAAATATTTACATATACATATACTGTGACTTTTAGGGGCATCGAAAATAAATGCTACTAGTCATTTTTTACAGAGTGTTGTTTTTGCATGCAGCCAGAAGGACGTTCTTTCGAAAGCCAACATCCTGAGATAACTGAAATATTATAGAATTAAACTGCAGGATGATTAGTTTTACAACCCTACTTAATTAAAATTTTGGAAACTGAAACGCATTTCGGAATTTCGGTTGTCATTTCATGAGTTGGCCCACCTACTGTAGCAATTACTCCGAAGCACACCTGCACTGGGGAAGAGGGTCGAGGTTTAGTACTCAATCGAGTCACTAGTCCAGGTGACAGAAGACAAATTTTCCCAGCCGTTTAAGGCACTTTCGTCCCCGGAGACGCTAGAATCCACGCCGAGACTACGAAATGCGTGGGCGAATGTCGCAACAAATGTTGTACTCTTTACGTGGGATCTGAAGTTGTTGGGCGACTAGACGACAAAAGTGTATCAATTGAGACAGCTTTAAGTCCACCCCCTTCTCTGTGTGCGTGTTTAAATCTAGATTTGAGCTCGCCTCCGCGGGCTCAACAACCAAAAGTACAAACCGTAAAAGCATGTCCCATCTGATTTTAGTGGAAGAGAGGATGTTATGACATTAGGAACCTCTCTTCTATTGTAATCAGATAAAACATGTTTGAAATAAAAACCAATCATGAAGAAATGGTCTGCGCTGGTTTGCCTGCAAGTTGACTAAAAAAATTATACCGAATCACGCAAAACGGTTCATGTAGGAGCTACTCCTGATAAGCCACAAGTTTCGGCTCGTCCGAATGGCATCACCGGGACACCGAATGGTCGCGACTTGTTCATCTGCGCTTGAAGGTGGAGATTTCTGTCCGCTGTGTCAGGTCTACGTGACCTCTTCCAGAGGAGCGACCGCATTTGACGGGCTAGACATGACGCCATGGGACAGCTGCTGTTGGGATCGGAATACCGTTTTATGGATGCGGTTCGAGCTACTGGCAGGACAGAGACTTCCGGTTAAATTCAGACTTCTGAGCCCGGTGAGGCATGTTTATTGACAGACAAGTTGTATGCTCGACTTAAATGCTATATTCCCGAGTACAGTTGAAAATGGGTAATGGCTAAAGTGTCCTCGTCTTTCAAAGCGCAATCCACTGTAACGATCGGCCGACTATTATTCCTATGTTTGGAACAAACTACTAATTTATATTGATCCAACTGTGAAAAACTCGGCGCCTTGGTAGGATTCGAACCCGCGCAGTAAGGGGAAGGCTTTAGTACAGCCAACGTGCTAACCACCTGAGCTACGAGGCCCCGCCGGACGACGCGAGTTTTATCACACTTGGGTCAAGTTACCCGCCCAACCTACTGCAACGTCTGGAATCCACCAAATCTGATGCAGTAAGTTGACTGCCCAAGCAGGATTTCCTAAGTAATTCACTTAGAATCCGCCAAATCACTACCAGGCTCACGTAATTCATTGATATTCTGGCAGATTTTGAATAATTCATATTAACCCGCGTCGTTCGGCAGGGCATCGTAGATCGAGTGGTTTGAATGTTGGCTGTAATAAAGTCTTTCCCTTGTGTCGTGGGTTCAGAACCCACCGAGGTGCCAAGTTTTTCACAGTTGGGTCAATATGAATAATTCAAAATCTGACCAAACATCTATAAACTACTAATTACCATCAGCAATTGCTATCGTCATCTGTGCTGCCATGAGCAGTAACAACACAATAAGGGGAGTAGACATTGTAGTAGATGAACGACGGAGAGGAGTAGGAGGTGGAGCAGGAGGAGGAGGAGGAGGAGAGAGCATGCCGCAAACGTCCTATAGGTGGTCAAATTTAATTTACTTCTGAGTTCATTTTTGGTCAGAGAAGATAACAACCGCAGTCTTCTAACGAAATCTCTGTCATTTGGGAGGCCCAGATCGCGTTGTGATGCTAGGACAGGTTGCTATTATGCATTTCAAAAGCATTGCCCATAAACTTTGCAGCATAACATAAACAAACTGACTACTATCAGTTGTCTCGTCGTCTGAAGCGATTCCTTTGGCCGATTCACCAAGCATCTCGTCGTGGTCCCCAGGTTCCGAAGCAGTCAAAGTCAGAGGAACTGCGGAACCTAATGCGCATCCCCCTGTCCTGAGACGATCTCCCCTCCCATCCATTCCCCCTGTTTGCACTACCTTACGTGGAATGATAGGAACGTCGAGAAGACGAGCCAAGCCTGTAGACTAACCACGGAGTGGGTGTAGTACGGGCGGGAGAGGTATGGGTCGTATGGCCCGCAAGGTCCACTTGGATCGGGGGACGATTGCCTACTCGACTACAATTAACCATACGCGGAAGGGTGCCGACAGAGAGGAGTGAAACTGAAGTGGCTATGTCTTCGCCGTCATTGGCCGGAACTCCCCAAATCCAAGCTTGCCGCAACTGGGCCGCCTCGAACTCGCATTACTAAGTTCAGCAGTCGGCTAATAAACCAGAAATAGCCATTCAGGCCTTATCACTGTCGGCATAACCGGCTGGTCGCTGTGCGACTGCCTACTATGGCTCAAGACGAAGCAGGTCCCCAAACCTGATCAACGGGTGCCCAAACAAAGGCTATTGTATTCGATCACAGCTGTGCACACATAAGTGTTTATCTGGTGAGTGGGGAAGAGATTAAGTCGTGGAGTCAGAAATGAAATATTCCATTTCATAACTTACGAGTAGTACCACAAGAGACGAGGACTGTGATCCTAGACAAATTTGAGATAAAATGCCTCGTACAACTGCCTATTCGGTCATGCGACGCGGTTTCATCTATCGAGCCACTTGCCCGTCTAATCAACATATCATATGAAGGCGGAATTTCGAGTTCCAGGTGTATGCACAAGTGACGAAGAAGATTCGAGCACCGGAACGTTCGCTTATTGAAAAAGAAGAGGAAGAAGAAAAAGAAGAAGACACGACCGCCGGGACAAGTGCTTTAATAGCCTGAGGTTTCGGATTCCTGCTCTAATCCATCATCAGAGACAAAAGCAGATAAGGATGGTTCATGTCTAAGGGGCTGCAGTCTATCGTCCTGAAGTTTCAGACTCTTGCAGGAGTCCATCTTCAGGGGTAGCGGCAGAATCAGAACAGGCGACAGTTATAAGGCATGTGGGCCGAATCATCGACTGACGGTGAAAGACTGGAGATGACTATGCGGGGCTCTGTGCGTCGGCGCCAGATCGATAAATCGATTGACTGAGTTCTCATCCGAGGCCCAGGCTTCAATCAATTCTCAGACTGTTTTGCTTCCGGCGTGGGCGACTAATTTGGTGCCTGTGAAGTTAAACTCGTGACGCACTTCGTAGGTGTCGGCGGCCACTTGCGATAATGCGTCGCCTCGTCGCACAGCCAGCTTATGTTCGTGTATGCGCGATCCGAGCATGCGCCCAGTCTGCCCTGTGTAGTTACAAGGACAATTTTGACACGGAATGCGATACACTACCCCAGTTTGCTCTTTAGGCTTTAACCGGTCTTTAATTTTCATGACCCTATTGCGCAAGGTGGCTTTGGGGTGGTGTGCAATTCCAACACCTAGCTCCGACGCAATGCGCTCGGTCGCTTCTGAAACGTTATTGATGTATAGCAGAGAATGTCATATCGTCGGTGGTGTTGATGTTCGAGTCCTCTGATGGCGACCGCGTAGGTAGCGACTTATGAATGCCCTCGGATAGCCATTTTGCGCAAACTGCTCGCAGAGATAACCGGCCTCACATGCTCTGTCCTCCGGTTTGCTGCAATGAGCTTGGATCCGTTTGAAGAGCGCCTTCACACAGCTTCGTTTATGAGCCACCGGATGGTCGCTGCGAAAACTGACGATGGACTCCTACAGCAGTCTAAAAACTCAGAACAATAAACGAAGTGTTCCGGTGTTCGACTCTTCTTCTTCACTTATACATATCATATGAGACAAGTTCATTGCAGAATGACAAAAAGAGGGGAGCTAAGGCTATTCTACCGGCAGAATAAAGGGGTCTCTGGGTCCTGTTTGCTTATTATTCCTAGGTCTCCGTCAAGAGGAACCTTGCGCTTTCCCCATCGACCAGCTGGCAACACACGTACAACTGGGTGGTAGTCCAAATGATCCGACGACTACTGCTGATGTTGGTCAGGAAACTTCGAGGTCTCCAGATTAAACAAAGGGAAGTACGCAGACAGTTTGGGGTTTTCATCCTCTTAATTGGTCAACCATAAACCGACGGCCAGAGCGGCATAAGAAGCAAGGACAGGTGGGCGAGCTAGTTTCCACTGAAGAAGGCAGAGCACGCAGAGGCGGTTTGATGTAGCGTGTAGAGGCAGGCATCCGGCTTATAGGACGGAAATTAAGATTTCTGCTCCGTTGAGTCTACAATTGCCGCAGACAGCCATTAGGAAGACTATCAACTTTTAAATTAAGAAGTGTTTGCCGACAAAGACAGCGTCAGGCCACTTGCCGCCGGTAGCAGAGGACTGTGCTTCCAAGAATCGGACGACGGTCTTACTTCATGTTGAACTGGGCTAGTCATTTCATTTCGGTCTGCATATCCTTGTACTTCCTCGGCACTACGACTCATCGACGCATTTCCCTCATCCTTATCCGCAGCTGCTTCGTCGGTTGGAATAGGTTTTGTGCAGTCAATTCTTCTCGAAGAGCAGGCTGGTTATTTCCCCACGTTGGTGCCGTAAAACCAGTCTTGATGTGCGCGATCCAAAGCGTTCATGGCGGTAGGACAGTGTTTCAGCGATCTAGTCGGAGGGTGAGACATCCTCATTCTGTTTCATCTTTTCAACCAGCCACTGGAGCAGTGGATCCGCGTCTTTGACCGGATACGTCGCTTGGTTGGTTAAGCAGGTAATCAGTGGAACTTCTTGTCGGTTGCCATCCTGGTTCCTTTGTTTAAGAGACGTGGCAGATACAGCCATCCCTGTCCTTTTGGTCTCGTCAAAAAGTCTGAAAGCTGGTGTTGAGCAGCAAACCATGGCCTTAGCAGCCTAATATGCGCTGGCAGTTCCCTGACGCCTGGTTCCCTGCCGGTAGATGCACTTGCGTTCCCGCTGAGTATACAGGTGGTGGGCATGGCCGCCCAGTCATTCTCGTTGTCCTTCTGACCCGTGTTGGGATGTTGCTATTACTGTTGTTGGTGAAAAATCCTGGTCAAGTGTATGTTGTGGACCGGGAGGTGTGGAGCGGAACGCCAAGGTGCGGGCTCGACCGCAGCATCCACCTGCGCCCTCCCCCCTGTCTTGACGCGGGGTCCAGGTGGGGAAGGAGGATAGAGTGCGGTAGGCTCTGCGCAAGTCCACTCTCACTTTAAACTAATTCACGAGCAAGTCACCGTGCCCGCTGCACCTAGCTGTGTAGCACAGGGTGGACATCGTCGGTCATGACGGTCGAACTGTAGGGTTCTTCTGTGTGGAGCTAAGCCATTCACCTGTTATAGTGTTTCACAGGCAGAATACCGACGCTCACCTATGTCGCCAACATCTGGTTTGGCTATCACTGAAACGGTGGCGCCAATTTGCTCTAGGTGCCACCTCATTGGTAGATTTGACTGCTCGGGTAGGGCTAGCGAGACATTCTAAAACACAGTCTTTGGTATGCGCCTTCTGGCCAGATTCGGCACAGAAAGAACTCGAGCGCAGTCAGAGAAGAAGCGCTCATATTCCAGATCGTCATAGGAGGAGGGCTGAAAGTGGCCCATGCTTTTCTGACTAACCAAGACAACACAGGAAAATTAGATACTAGGAGGAGGGGCGGAAATTTGTTGAGGTGCAGTAGGAGAATCACAACGCGGTGTAGATTTTGACAGATTACACGACAGTAGGTGGGCTAACTCATGAAATTTCAACCGAAATTCCGAAATGTGTTTCCTTTTCGAAAAGACTAATTAAGTAGGGTTGTAAAATCAGTCGTCGTGCAGCATAATTCTACAATAATTCAGTTACCCCAGAATGCCGGCTGCTGAGGAAACTATTTCCAGCTGCATGCAAAAACCATAATCTCTAAAAAAATGACGACTTAAGTAGCATGCGTTTTTGTCATTGATCTTTGATGCCTTAAAAAATCTATTATAATTCTTGGGGAACAAACATAAAAATATTCATTCTTTTGCTCATTCGGTAGAAAATTAGGTTCTCCAATTTAATAATCGAAGGATGGTATAATTTAGTTTTCAAAAACTTCCAATTCCAGAATAATTATGAATCCCGACTTGCCGTTACACTTGCATTCAGGGTATCCAAACTACAAGCCTTATATTTTCCGCATTTGGAAAACCATACATTTCTCTACGGTAATAAGAGGAGACCATATGGGGTTCATAAAACTTAGCGGTGAACTTGGGCCAAATTATTAACTTAACAAGCCACGTTGGTAAATGCAGAGACATGACGTTTTGTGAAGGGCCATTTCACGGGATCAAAAAATCTCACAATTAGAAACTTTTTCAAAACCGAATTATACCCTTCCTTCGAGTGAAAAACTGAAGATAGATGTAATTTTCTACCGAACGCGCAAACAATGAGTATTGTTATGCATGTTTTCTGTGAAATATAATTCAATTTTCATGGGCATCGGAAATAAATGAGAAAAATTCACGCTACTTAAGTGGCCATTTTAACAGAGTACAGTTTTTGAATGCAGCCGGAAAGAAGTTCGTTCTAAAACCGGCTTCCCGAGCTAACTGATTTATTATGGAATTATGCTGCAGGATGATTAGTTTTACAACCTTACTTAAGTAATCTTCCCGAGACGAAAACGCATTTCGGAATTTCGGTTGAAATTGCATGAGTTAGCCCACCTACTGTATCCTTTCCTCAATCCTAAAATCCGAAGAAGACAAAATTTACTTCCAAAGCAGGCACAAAAGCCGGCATCCCGAGTTGGCTTAAATATTTTAATGATTATGCTGCACGATAATTAGTCTTACAACCACACTTAAGTGGCAGACTCTGCTTAAGAACACACTCCAGAGTCTTGGGTAATATTTCATGAGGCATTGGGTTAGGAGTAAATTCGGTCGTGGGACGCCAGTAAAAGGCATTCTTTGGCGAGCACCATGAGACACGACTTTGTAAGTTTGAATTGCTATGCACTGGTCGCGCGCCTAGCTGATCACCCATCCACAAAAACCCTTCTCGATCGAATCTCCAAACAAGAACTGAGCGACATGGACGAAATAAAAGTGATTTACCGCTGTACTCTACAGCGAATATAAGGCCCTTGCAACGAGCCACGCTAGACCGACATGGGGGGACAGAGCAGGCGTTATTGGCGGTGCGAGCCAACAAAAAATGCCACACATGGCGGCACGCCTAGGCGCAGGTTCAAAAGGCGCCAGCCACCCACGTTCGATCCCCCCCCTTTCTGGTCTTCTCAACTCCGTCCAGTTTAGTGAGGGAAAGGTGGGACAGATGCAGCGCAAGTCTGCTACTGCTTTGATTCATGAACAAGTCATCGTCCCGGCACTTGACATGCCGTGGGTCGCACGATAGACATCATCGGAATCCACGGTCGGACTGTCATATAAGGTGAAGAAGCAACAGGGGGAATATCCAAGATTAGACTAAAAACCAACCAATCAAGTGGTGTCCTTCGGCTGGACCTCCGACTCATCTGAGTATTTGAGTAAACCTCCAACCCTGTCGGGGGTTGGCGCGATATCAAGCGCACGGTGTGTGGGCGGATCGTTAGGACGCTGTGTGAGCAAGTCAGCTAGTACGGACACGAAGGCCCATGACGGCAGAGGATGGTGTGCAGATACGCGACTTTAAGCCGTTAAGCGTTGAGAGCAATGGTAAACGGAACGCCGGCTAAAAGACTGAGGTCTTCGTGGTCTTGGCTGACGACGGCAGAAGCCAGAAAGTTCTGTTTACGGGCTTTTTGTCTTTGTGGGTGAAACTTCGCAAGCACGGATTGTCAACGGACAGACAAACGTTCGTGAGAGCCCTAGCTCTAAGACGCAGAGTCTCTGTAGTCTCTCCTGCACACAGGTGGTTTCCACAGTTTTTGGACTGCTTTGGTGAAACGTCGGACGCAGCAGGAAAACAAAAACAAACGAAGTAATCGGGCCAACTGAGACCTAGGAAGGCGACGACCTTGAGCGACTTCATCAGAAAGTTGCCTTGCGTCACTGTAGTGAACAGCTTCTTAAGAAGACGATTTGGCGAGAATAGGTTGCTTTTGATAAATTCTCCTCGAGCTAACACACTTATATAGAGATGGGGTAGAGGCAAGCACATGGGAGTAATAAGAGAAATCGATTAAATTTCGTTTAAAAACATAAGTGGGTGTGTGAATGCTGGGGGGGAATGGTGGGGGGCAATAACAGTCAATGCCAGGAGCGATATGAGAGGAAAGGGGTACGGAGAGTAGAGGCATTAGTCGACCTTTGACCACTGTAGGTGCGGAGCCTGAACGTGGTTCTTCTGTGGGCACAAGATTGGTTTTCGCAACCTAGTCGCACCCGCTTCTGCTGTTGTCAGCAGGTGATGACCCAGTAGTTTAGGCTAGCTCGAGGAGACATTATAAATCACGGGAAAAGCTTCCTGGGCTTCAAACGATGTCCGGATTTAGCAACATGCGCGAAAATGGTGCTGCTTATGCTCCCAGGTTCGCTTGTTAAAAATTAAAGAAGAAATCTAGGCTACCTTGTATTCGGGCAGCTACCTATGCAAACAGCTGTCCCATACTAAGTTTGCGCGTTCATGCGGTGTTTTTCGACGAGAAGAGAGTAATCTAGACTTGAGGGCTTTACCAAACAGGACTTATCGCACTTGATAATTGATCCTTTTCAGCACGTAAGTCAGATGGGACGAGGTGTGACAAGGCTATTCTTTAGAAGACCAGACGTTTTACCGATTTTAAAATGTGAGGTTAGATGCAATTACGTAGCCCCACCTGAGGGACACAATACTGTTGGGGTTGGGGTAAGGGTTAGAGTTAGGGTTGAGGTTAGGGAAACTATTTCTCAACCACTCAAAGTACAGGTGCCTGGGGTTAGTTTACTTCGGTTGGGGCTACATAACCACATCCGACCAAGTCTTATTTCATGCCACAGGACGGAGTGATAAAACTTACGGGCAGGCATTTGTTTACACGCTCTGACATTTACTTGCCCTTTGCGAATCCTCAATAACTTACAGCGGAAGGGTCCTCCGCCAACTGGCTATGTTAATTTTTAGGCACACGTCAAGATGGTTATTGCATGTGCTAGCTTCCACTAATGTGTAATTTAGAAGCGGAACAGGCGGAGGATTAGCTGTCTTACAAATATCACGGTATTTACAGGGCCATACTGTTGTGTATTAACAATCGTAGAATAGAGCCTAAAAACAAAAAAGTATGGCGAAAACGGCTCCAGTATAAAGAAAAAAGTGCGTTGTTTCGTTTACAACAGGAAAATCATCACTAATTTTCAGGGAAGTGAAAAAGCCGACCAAATGTTTCAAATTTTGCCTCGAATATCTTTGAGAAAAGGTAAAATGCGCAGACACCCTCAGCAGACTACCTTTACCATTATATAACGTTTTTTTAAAAAAATTAATCCAAGGCACATTCATCGCCGACTTCTGTTATGGACGTCCATTTCTCTCGGCGATGAGGTTTCATGTTTAGGCGAACTTACAAATATGACCCAAACAGCTACCGGCGGCAGAAGGAATGTCCAAACACTCACTACCTAGGTAAATAAATATCCTACCTTGAAGGCTTTAAAAAACACAAAGCCTTTATAGGGGATCCATTGAAAAAACTGAAAATTCTAAAATATTCGCCGATCTGGAGCTCAACGTACTCAAGAAAATAAAAAACTTTAAATGACTTTCACGAAAAAAATGTTCACATAATATACATTAAATGATATTTTTCCGATTGCACCTGTTGAAATTTGTTAGTCATTGGCCGACTTATCCAACCTGTGACCTTATGTGAACTTTTATTACTGTGACATCCTTATCGGCGAAATCAGGCGAATTCCTGTTGGCCTTCTTCAATCGCTTCTCTAGCAATGCACAAACCGAAAAAAACATAACTCATCCGCGTGAAACCGAGATAGAATCTATGATCAAACTGTAGGCGGTTGGCCAACCACCATAATTGACATTACATTAATTTCCGAAATATATGTGAGTATAACTTTCGGTAAAAGTCTACTTTCTAAAGTTATTCTACTCGTATTGTTTTAGTTACTCGGTTTTTGCACGGTCGTTTTTTACGAAAACCACTCGCCCATTGTGCCTTACGGACTCTCTCTCTCTCACGCGAGCCCAACCAGAAGCCGCACAGCGACGTATGATATAGGCAAAATGTTATTACCGACAAAGACAAGGAAGACTGGAATGGCAATTTTTTGCCTATTTGCCGTCGTCAGCCAGTCATACTCAATGCCGAAGTGGTGTACATTCTGCTACCACTGCACATTCCCGAGCCCGTGGCTCAGTGGTTAAAGACGTTGACTTCTAACTACCATGTCGCGGGATCGAGCCCCAGGTTTTTCACACTTCGGGGTTGGGTATGACTGTCTGACGACGGCTAATAGGCCAGAAATGGCCATTCCAGTCTCCCATGTCTTTGTCGGTAATGACATCCTATCTGCTCACCTCTAAACTTAAGTTTCTTCAAGTTTTTTTTGCTGTTTCACAAATTTCCTGTTTGGACAGTCAGCTTACTGTATCAGATTTGGTGGATTCCAGACGGCGCAGTAGGTTGGGCGGGTAACTTGACCCAAATGTGATTAAACCCGTGACGTCCGGCAGGGCCTCGTAGCTTGAATGGTTAGAACGTTGCCTGTAATAATGCCTCCCCTTGTTGTCGTGGGTTCGAACCCCACCGAGGTACCGAGTTTTTCGCAGCTCGGTCAAAGTGAACTATTTAAAAAACTGTTAATTCTAGACAACGTAATGTTACTTTCGCTATTTCTTCTATTGTCTAAATCCGCTTAGTACGTTATTAATCCGGGCTTTCGGCCCATTCGTTTATGTCGGCCTGCGGTTAATTAGCAACGTTTCGCATGCGTTGAAAAATCTACTGTATCTTTTAATCAACAAACAGGCGACCGGGCCTGGGTTGTGCTGCTGCTTCGGTGCGTCATCCTGAGGATGAAACAAAACTGACAGACCCCCCGGAGAAAATACAAATTTCAAACTCTGCTTGGCAGATCAGATCGGGAATATTTGGCGGTAGACTACACCAGTTTAGGCTGCACCTGGACGTTCCGAGGACCTGAGAAGTGCGGCGAGGAGCACTACTTAGTAGATAAGTAGTACTCAACTCCGCATGAAACCAGTTGAGGCACAACATCAACCCAACGTTCCCTTCCGACAGCCATATGGGCCTTAATGACGAGATGAGATTAGACAAAAAAGGTCTGAACAGGCATTCGGGCAAGACATGACTGTCGCCAGTCGCTCAGGTGGGGCGCAAAAAACCGACTTCTTTACGCGCTCGGATGTGTCCTTGCGATAAGAGGAGATGCCACAAGGCCACGTCAGTGTAGTCCTCCAATCAGGAAGGAACAGTGAGCGCGCACACACGGAACGCAGAACCCGCGAGTCTTACTGATGATAAGGAAAAAAAATGTCGACCACCGAGGAAAAAGGCCAGTATGGCGGAGAAATGGGGCTTTTGGCAGACAGTTGGCGACAAGGACGACTCTGTTTGCGTCACTACGTGCGTGGGAAATATCCGCTCTCACTAGGGGGATATACGTTTTTTGCCTGCCTTGGGGAATTCAAAACAAATGCCAGGCAAGATGATGGGAAGAAGATCAGCTGGCCGTCGATCATTTTAGACGAGCTACGGAAAATAAGTGATCCGATGAAAACATCACTCTAGGTAGGAAGTGTGAGAGAAGAGGAGCATGCAGTATAAGTTCGTACATCGCAAAGGAAGAGAAGCCCCTCCGCCCCGGGGGAGATCAATGTCTGCATTTCTTTTCTAATGGATCGACTTGCGAAGCGCCTAACTCACTCTGCCCACATACCCACTATAGTTAAATGATAAAAATGGGACATGACGACCGGGAATGAGTGTGCGCGTAGCGGCCGACGAGGATGACAACACGTCAATGCGTGAGCCGCAACTCAACATGAACCAAACTTCAAAGAGTGATCGAGTCCCGAACAGTGCATGAGTGGGAAAGGGTTGTGCTAGCATGAATCTCAAGCTAAGACTATCGGCAAGTCGGGAGCGTTTAAAAACGCGTTTGGTGAGGAATTTGAGCTCTGGATCGGAGTTGCAGCGAGAGACGTTGGGCACAGCGACCGACGTGGCGTAAAGCCTGCATGCCGAAACCAGATATTGAGCAGTTAACGCGTATGTTGAGTGCCTTGTGGGATAAAAGCAAGCTTTCTCCAAGTTAATACCTTACTACGAAGACGATACTGATACAATTTTGAAAAAAATCGGCGACCTCAGTGGGATGTGAACCCAATGCTTGAGTACAGCAAACGCTCTAACTACCTTAGTTACGAGGGCCGGGCGGCAGTCGTGAGTCTTAATCACATTTGGGTCAGTTTACCCGCCCAGTATACTGGAACGTGTGGAATCCACCAATTCTGGTGCGGCAGGCGACAGAAACGCGGTCCTGCTAGGAAATGGTGGCTTTACATGTCGGGCTGCGGGAAAACAGTGAGGAAGATGCGAAAACTAAGCAAAAACGCGGGTATTATAGGTAAATATACTAGTTTGTTTTAGTGGGTATTAAGTTTCCGCGTAAGCGCCGCGCAGTACAAAAATCCATCACAGGTAAAGAGTAAAACCAATTTCACGAACAAGAATGGTGATCGGTGTGTCAAGGTCATTGAAACTAAACCACTCAAGAATGTGGCCAATCAGGCACAAGACGTAGCTGGGAGTTTTAGGAAGTGGGGCCGAATGACTCCCTAGCCGAAAACACTAACACTAAACCTTAAATCCTAACCGCAAAACCCGAACACTAACGCAATTGTAAATCACAATCGCAGTAATCCGCGAAGCACTTTAAACTTAAAGTATCCTCAAGTTGTACTACGTCTGCCGAAGTCAATAATATTACGAAAGTGATAAGTGCTGACTACCTACTGAAATCGGTAATAGTACGAAAGTGGTAATTTGCTGGTTAAGCAGGACAGCGCTTCCGAGCCCCACCCAGCAAGCTGACTGCCCAAGCAGGAATTCCAGAGCAATCAATCGAGAGAGAGAGAGAACTTGTAAGGCGCAACGAAACGAGTGAAGTCCGTAAGAACGATCGGTGAACGCCCCCTACCATTGTACATTCCCAATCGAAACCGACAAAGCAACGGGCTCGTGGCCCAGTGGTTAGAGGCGTAGACTTCTGACTAACAGGTCGCGGGATCGAGCCCAAGGTGTTTCACACTTCGGAGTTGGGTATGACTTGCTGACGACGGCTAATAAGCCAGAAATGGCCATCCCAGTCTCCCCTGTCTTTGTCAGTAATAACATACAATCTACAATCCACCAGATGCCTAACAGGCCCACTTAATTGTTAGATGTTTTGGCAGATTTTAATAATTCCTCCCATAAAACTTGGCGGCCTCGGTGGCATTCGAACCCACGGCCTCAAAGGAAAGACTCAAGAACAGCTAGCGGCCTAACCACCTGAGCTACGACAAGACGACTGAGGTCCTCGCGTTACTCACACTTGGGCTAACTCACCCGTGGAAATTTTGCCGCAGTTCAGAACGAGCAAGGCCAGGTCTCAACTCTAGGCGTAAGCTGATTGTGTATCAGTAGCCACTCGACAGTTTGACTGTCGCCGCCGCAGCGGGATGGGATGCGCATGAATTCATCTATAGTGCTAGTGGACTTGCGCTGCATCTACCGCACTCTCTCCCCCCCGCTTGGGCCCGGTGTCATGAGTCAAGAAGACCGGAGGCGAGAGAGGGCGCAGATGGCTGGCGCGGCCTGAAACCGCGCCTAGGCGTATGACCACACAGCTCCTGGTCCACGATGTACGCTGGCCAGGATTTCATACAATAGGCGGGCTAACTCATAAAATGTCTAAGTTCAGCGAATATTCCCAAGTTACAATTGAAAAGTCAAATTGGCGAACACGTGTTTTCAGCATCAGGCCAAAACAGTTACAAATAAGTTTAAGTTATGCGAATTACATGACTTATAAGTGATCCGGGGACAATTAACATCCATCGTTCCCACGCCAATCATCGTTCGCACGCCACTCGCATGACGAGGCGTGCTATGGCGTGGTTAGCGTGTCGTGGTCATAAAATGTCAATGGAAAAAAATTGTGAGATTTTTTAATACCTTGAAATGGCCGTTCATAAAACGTCATGTATCTGTGGCTTGTAAAGTAGACAATATCGCTCAAATCCACTGCTAAATTTTATGAACCCCATATGGTCACCTCTTAATACGTAGAGAAGTGTATAGGTTTCCGTACACGGAAAATAAACGGCTTGTGGTTTTGAAACCCTGAATGCAATTGTAACGGCAGGTCGGGTTCAAAATTATTCGGGAATTAGAAAAAAAATTTAAAACCGAATTATACTCTTCTTTCGAGTATAACATAGAAAGAAGACGTGATTGTCTACCGAATAAGTAAAAGAATGAATATCTTATGCATTTTTTCGTCAAATATAATTGAACTTCTAAGGGAATCGAAAAACCAATGAGAAAATTGCATGCTAATTAAGCAACCATTTTTGCAGAGTATAGTTCCTGCATGCAGTTGGAAATAAGTGCATTCGAAAGCCGGCGTCCTGAGGTAACTGAAATATTAGAGAATTATGCTGCGGGCTGATTAGTTTTACAACCCTACTTAATTAATCTTTTCGAAGCGAAAAGGCATTTGGGAATTTCGATTGACATTTCATGAGTTGGCCCACCTACTGTACCACAGCTGGCTACTGGGCCTGCCCCCCACATAGAGCACAATGTTGGCGTTTGTTGTGGGTGTGTGTGACAGTGGACTTGCGCTGCATCTACCGCATTCTCCCCCCTCCCGCTTGAGCCCGGTGTCATGAGTCAAGAAGACCGGAGGCGAGAGAGGGCGCAGGTGGCCGGCGCGGCCTGAAGCCGCGCCTAGGTGTACGAACACACCTCCTGGTCCACGATGTACGCTGGCCAGGATTTCATACCACAGCTGGCAACTGGGCCTGCCCCCACATAGCGCACAATGTTGTGGCGTTTGTTGTGGGTGTGTGTGTGTGTGTGTGCATTCCATCTGCGGATTGGGATCTGGCGCCTGTGGTGGTCCAGCATGGTCCGTCTTGGGGACACGCGGACGGAACTTATTGGTTCGCCCAAACGGATTACCACAGTCGACGGCAAATGGACACACGAGTGGGATGAGCACAAAAGATCTGAACTGTGACATGCATGGCAAAAATGGGCAAAGAACAGTCTGGAGTACGATAGGCGTCATTGCGCCGGTATCTACAGTGACAATTCATGCGGCAAGGCATCAAAAGGTTTACCTGGTGTAGAGGCGTAGCAGTCGCGACCGTGGACATGAGCGGAGGGCCTCTTCAAAGCGCCTAGGATGAAAAAAAAGCCGGAGAGGAAGAAGTCCGGACTAAGTGAGGCAGGAAGATGAAAGGATAATCTTAGAACTGAATGATATTACCGACAAAGACAAGGGAGACTGGAATGGCCATTTCCGGCTTATTAGCCGTCGTCAGCCAGCCACACCCAAGCCCGAAGTGTGGAACACCCGAGCCTCGAACTCGCGACCTGTTGGTTTAGAAGTCAACGCCTCTACTCACCGGGCCACGAGCCCGTTGCCCTGTCGGTTTTCGATCGGGAATATACAATGTTAGGGGGCGCTCACCGATCGTTCATACGGAACTCACTCGTTCCGTTGTGCCTTAAGGGCTCTCTCTCGAGCCCAACCAGCAGCCGCACAGCGGCGCATGATATATATAGGCAGAATAGCATTACCGACAAAGACAAGGGAGACTGGAATGGCCATTTCTGGCTTATTAGCCGTCGTCAGCCAGCCATACCCAAGCCCAACGTGTGGAACACCCGAGCCTCGAACTCGCGACCTGTTGGTTTAGAAGTCAACGCCTCTACTCACCGGGCCACGAGCCCGGTGATGAAAATCAAGGGATCGGCTTCTAGTAAACCGCGTCTGGAAGCGGCAACACTGCTCCAACCCCTGTACAACTTCCAATACTGTCGCCACGAATGCGAGCTCATAGGGTGGAAGGTTCCCATTAAACGGTAGAAAGAAGGACGGTTCGCAGAAGGCCAGAACAAAGCGTTGGCTGATGGGATATGATGTAAAGCGTGGGTAACAATCAGGAGATGGCACCCAAAAAAATCCGTTACCTAGAAATAATACCTTTATCAGTGGTCTGAAACGCCTTCAGGCTATAACAGCGCTTGCAGGCCTACTTTCACGCACTACTTGGACTTTCCGCAACGGCCTAACACGGGCTGGCCGAACGAGCATCGCAGGAGGTTACATGGACGATGGTTGCTGTTACTTAACCTTCCCCATCGTTACACACGTACACCTGATTATTCGGCATACATTCGCATTATGGCAGTTTATTATAAAACAAAATCACTTTTAAATAGCATAAGTCTGCACAACATAGGACATGAACAGTTCCCAGGCATCTGTCAAAGACATGGCATTGAGGACAAACCAAAGACGATACTGTACTTCGTCTATGTGAGCCCACACAGATCGACCACATACAGGGCTTCCCTCGGGGAGTTTCCGGCGGGAATACAGTGTCGCAACACTGAAGAAAACTTTTTCCCCCGTCTACCACCACTGATACGGCGAACACTACTAATACTCCTACTATTAGTACTACTACTACTACTACCACCGCCACCACGGCTGCCAATGCTACTCTACCAACGCTTACAGTATAGGTAACTAACTGCAATAATACTAGCATCAGTAACGGAGTGTTGCGACACTGGTATCCAACCGAGTTTCCTTTTCAGTCTACTCCAGTATGCCTCAATGGCATTGATGTGCTGTCCGGTGGTAGGCTCCTTGAAGTTCTTTGAGTGGTTAACAGAGAAATGTAGATAACCTTCTGAGGGAAGACGATTATATGCCTTCCACTCGTTCGTTACCACTATACCGCCTTTGGCGACCTATTTTGTAATAACAGAACGGATAGCGGGTCAACTTTATTCAGTCACCTGTTCAAATAAGCCTTTCCGTCGGCTAGTATCGTACATCCCGACCAGCCACCAGCCATAAAACCCCTATTACCGCCTGTCCCATAAGACAGGCTGCTTTGGTTAGGAGGATTGTTTTGGGTGCCATCTCCCGATTGTTACCAAAGCGTGATTATAGTTAGGTCAACACAAGGATATTCCCTTAGGCCGTGGTAATGCGAAAGTAGACCACAGCTGGGCAAGCAATCGGATCACTGGTTACAAGTAGGAGGTACTCGCAAGCATAATATCGAAAGTCAGAAGAAAAAAGTCTGTTAACAGACGCGCTCGAGCTACACACCCCCCGCGCCCGTTCAAGCTGGCCAGACTACGACGGCCAGTCGCGTTGATTAATTAGTCATTCCCGTTCCCGAGTGTTGGTCGGTTGCGACGGGTACGTTCAGTGTCGCCGAATGCGTGACCCCCCCAATTGGTGTACACTTGGACAGTTCCTCGCACAATTTTAGAACGCACACGCGTAATTTATTATTGATGAAGCGCCTGATAAGAAGAGGCTCGGGAGAGAACAGGACAGTTGGGGTCGATAATTCGCCCTGCGTAAGTCATAAACGAATTGCGGTCTTCGACAAGCAGAGATGGAAAAGCAACTTCGAATGGCTGTAACTTTTAAGGACGTAATTGCGGGAAAGATTGATTGAAGACAAAGGATGGCTTGGAAAGGAGACTTTCATTGTGAAAAGGCGAAACGATGCTCAGCGCGGTATCTGCTGAGTGCGTAACCGAAACGACTGAGCCCTGGCTTCCAAGCAAACATCTTTACTGCAGTAGAAGATAAACATGCACGGTAGATGTGCTAACTCATGAAATCTTCACCGAAAATCTGAAATGCTTTTGGACTCGAAAAGATTACTTAAGTAGAGTTGTAATGTTAATCACCATAATCCTATGATAATTCAGTTACTTCGAGATGCCAACTTTTGGACCAATTTCTTTCCGGCAGCATGCATTTTTCCAAGTGATTTCCAATGTCCTTAAAAATTAAATTATAAGTCATGAAATACATGCATAAAATTACGTTTTCTTGAAATTTTATACTTGAAGGAAGGTTATAATTTGGTTTTAAAAAACTTTTCAAATTCCCGAATAGTTTTGAACCCGACCTGCCGTTACACTACCATTTAGGGTTTCCAAAACACAAACTGTATATTTTCCGTGTACTGAAAATCATACCTTTCTATAATCTATTGTGGGAAGACCATATGGGGGTCATGAAAATTAGCAGTGGTTTTGAGTCACACTGTAAAATTTACAAGCAACATTATTAAATGCAAAGACACGATGTTTTATGAACTAGCATTCGACGGTTTTAAAAAATCTTATAATTAGAAATTTCTTTAAAATCGAAATAAACCGAGTATAAAATATAAACAAAACGTAATTTTCTACCAAATCGGTAAGAGAATGAATGTTTTTAAGCGCGTCTTCTATGAAATATATTTGGATTTATAAGGGCACCGAAAATCAATGAAAAAAATTCACATTACGTAAGTAGCTACTTTTTACAGAGTGTAATTTTTGCAGCCCGCCGAAAAGAAGTTCGTTCAAAAGCTGGCATTTCGAAGTAACTGAATTATCATAGGATTATGCTGATTAATATTATAACTCTACTTAAGTAACCTTCTCGAGTCCAAAACGCATTTCGGATTTTCGGTTAATATTTCATGAGTTATCACATCTGCTGTAGCTATGTTCAGTATAGCCTCGTCTGATGTGGCCTCGAGGATAGGCCAGTCCTGAATAAAAGGAGCGTACAGCGGACATCCCTACTGAAGGTATAAGACGAAATGTGTGCTATTTTTCATAAGCAATACGGAGGCTCGACAGGGAACTAATGATTTCTCAAATCGTTTAACCTACCTCGTCCTTTTAAAAAAATTCACATGAGTGATTACAGCGCAGTAGGACTATCAACACCATCAGGATCTCAACTCATGCTAGTAACTCACGCGCCAACACTTGATACACTTCAAGTATTGCAGAAAGTCGGGAACACGGAACCAAAAAACGCATGGTGGTCTGAGCCGCCAAAAAAAACAACTTGCCAATCCCGCAGCGGGTGTTCTCTCCCGGCTGTATGAATAACCTATCTTCCTTCAACTCTGACTCAAGAGGTGAACCCATGTTCCTGCTTGAACTGCAAAGAAAAGATGGACGCCTACGACTGACGATCCTAGCACAGTTCCCCCGTTCCAAACAGCCCGTCAGAATAAGTGATTTGGCGACAGTTCGAGGGTCCGAAAGCGAAGGCATCCGACGCGTGTCCTGAAACGGAATGCGCATTGCGCCGGCGACTTGCACGTGAATTAGTCTACAGCGAGGCGGACTTGTACAGCATCTATCACACTCTCTCCTCTTTCTCACACCCGTCTGGCTACGGTGGCAAGACAGTGTTAGGACAACCGAGGATGGACCCGTCTGCGAGTGCCTCATACACGACCTGGCTCCTACTGTAAAAGGAAACTCAGATGCCGTCAGGTGGGGTTAACGACCAGGGCGGCTTCTTGATTCTAGGGTTACCGACAGTTGTGAAGGAAGTGACGAATGAAAAGGAAACCGTCACTGTCACCGCGTAGCTGTGCAAAGCGCCGCAGAAGTGGGGCCAGAGGAAGATGTAGCCATTCACGAGGTGAGAGTTTTACTGTCATCAGCATGTGCAACACCTCCGACAAAGTGGTGCGGAGGAGAGATGGGTCACGAAGAGGACGGCCCCGTCGCCCTGATTTTATGCCACGAAAAGGCCGTGAACCCTGAAGGTACACACACACAGGCAGAGTTGTGAGCCCAAAATGCAGCCATACAAGGTTTTGTCAAACTCTTCAGAGGTTCTCTGTCCACAGGACCCAATTTTTGAGCGGGGCAAACGTGGATAACCGGGACGCCACCTCTCCAAAAAACCGTTCAGGAAAATTTACTTTGACCCAACTGTGAAGAGCTCGGCGACATCGGAGGGAATCAAACCCACGACTGCAAGGGCAAAGCTTAAATACGGCCAACGCACTAGCCACCTGAGCTAAGTGGCGCCACCGGGAGACGTGAGTTTAATCACACTTGGGTCACGTTTACCCGCCCAACCTACTGCAACGTCCGGAATCCACCAAATCTGATACAGTAGGCTGACTGTCCAAACAGGATTTCATAAGTATTCCATCTAGAATCCACCAGATGACTACCAGACTCATGTAACTAATAGGTGTTTTGGCAGATTTTAACATCAAGTATGGCAGTTTGCCAGCAGTGTAGGCTGTACTGAAGTTTTCGCCCTGATGTAGTGGGTTAAAAATCCACCAAAGTCGTCAGGTTTAGCACAATGGGATCAAAATAAATTATCCAGAATTTGCCAAAACACATTTAAGAAAAGTCACTAGGCCACGGATGAAATTCGGTGCACTGCCTTGGCGGACAATGGTCGATCGGCGCGTACTATAACACAAAGCCGCGTAAGATCCACAAATTGATCGAGTAGTGCTTCCTACGGACGTCCCCGTGACGTACACCCCGCACATGGCCGCTACGTGGTCAGAAGTCGGCAAACTACCTCCGGATCGACGGGAAGGAAAATGGACATTGTGCCGATTAGAGGGTGGATTAAGACCCAATTAAGGTCTAGCTGCTGGCTACCCGGCACCTCCACAGGTGTTGGATAAGAGGAAGGACCTTCGGCGAAGGTTAGCTGGGAAATAAACAGACTCTGGGGTCTGGAGAAGAAGCAGTCGCAAACCAGCGACAACAGTGTAACCAGGGTGCGGAGGGCTGAGGTCTGGC